CATTGGATCCCTCAACCCTTTTTACAGCTGCTGAATATGAGATACTTTGGTTGGCCATGAATTTAGCCACCTCATCCTCTTTCACCCTTGTCGGGCATTCCAAAAACGTAGTTTTATGCTTCCCACCACAATTGCAACTCTTCACATTCTCCTCACTTTTACAACACATGAGATGATCTCTTCCACAACATGGACATCTTGGCTTTTCCCTTCTACAAACACGTTTCACATGTCCAAAAGCTCTACAGTGATCACACTGCATCAGTCTTTGGATAAACCATTTAACACAGTAATTAATATATACCAACTTCACCTGTGTTTATGGATGAACTCCATAAAAAAGAATCTAACACAGACTTTTCACTTTCTCTCCATTCACCACACGATTCATCCAACGTGCGTCAATCACTCCAGGGATACTTTTCATTTCTGCAACATCGACTTCCTACTATACACCAGATATTACCCGCTTGAGGGGTGCCCTGCTCCGAAGAGCCACACACGACACGGCAATCTTCTGGAATCGGGGTGAGACCCAACACACGATTCTTCTGTTTCTCAGAAGTACAAGAAATCAGAACAAGTCCACTTCTCGTAATCCTCACAGTATTAACTTTACCCATCACTCTTTCCACCAGTCTGCATATCTCAAATGGATTCCTCAGAATTGGCAACTTGATCTGCTCCTCTTCAACAAACCGTATTTCTACAATATGAGAGGGGACATTCACAGAACTGGAGGTTTTATTTTCTAACACTATTTTGCTCCTTTTTCCATTCAATAGACTCCACCGCCATTAGTTCCAAGATTCACACCTGCTTCTGCTTCCGCCATCTTGAAAACCCTTTGTGTTTTTTTTTGGCAGACTAGATGCTTTGTTGCGTATTGCTGCCTTTCACAGTTCGGAAAGTGCATTGCACATTTTGTTCACAAAAAAAGAGAAATGGGAAATGGGAAAAAAAAGAAATTGCACCAGCATCTAACCCTAGATTTATACCACTACCCCCAACAAACCCCCCACCCCTTCCCACTACTTTGGCCCAAACAGATCATACACCTGGCTGTCAGCCTGGCAGGCTGGAACTCCTACTCTCAAAACCCCCTGTAGTTTTCTGCACTAAAATCTCTGACACCCAAAAACTTTGGTTCCATTCCATCCGTGTGGTACAATTAATTACCATAGCAATAAACACTAAGAAGCCAACCTTACTAAAACACAAACTGTTCTGGTCACTCTGTACTGGCCTACTACTCTCAGGATCCCTCACACTTTGCCTCCATCATCTACTTCCTCACTGCCTCAGCATATGACAATATCTGCACTGTTCTCACCCTGGAAACTTCAACCTGTCTCACTTGCACAGGACATTTTTGATCCCCAGCAACATGGCCACACCAATAATTGAATCACACATATTTCCTGTTGGATGATTACATTAGCGGTCTAGTTAATGCAGGTCCTTGCCATTCTGCCGCCATTGGCGAGACCAAAAAAGCCCCCCCCCCCCGCAAAACGTACATTGAAAAGACATCTAAAATAGGTTCAATTTAGGTTCTGTTAAGTATACGCCGGGAGTCAGGAAGCAGGTGCAGAAGGTGAGTTTAATAATGATAAATGCAGATAAACAAAACATGAGAAGCGTACAGAACGTGAATTAAAACAATACTACCTAGTGACTGATGGCTAAATAAAGGGAGAGTAATCAAGGAAATAATGATGTCCAGGTGTGAGTAATGATGGGGAGCAGGTGTGCATATTGATGGTTGCCAGGGCCGGTGGTTAGTAGACCGGCGACGTCGAGCACCGGAGCGGGAATAGGCGTGACAGTACCCACCCCCCTTGACGAGCGGATCCAGCCGCAGGACGACGCTGGCCAGGAGGACGGCACCGAGGGCTAGGAGTGGGCCGGTCCGGATGGTGGAGATGGAAATTGTGGACAATGTTGGGGTCCAGGATGTCGGCCACCGGGACCCAACAGCGCTCCTCAGGACCGTACCCAGGAACCACAGGCCTGAGGAGGGAAACATATAAAGATGGTGAGATCCGGTAGTTGGTGGGGAGTTATAGATGATAAGTTACCTCATTGACCCTCATAATCCTTCTTCCCCCACCCCCATAAAAAAAAAAAGTGGTTGTCCCACTGGCTATCATAAGTTGAATGCACCAATTTGTAAGTCGCTCTGGATAAGAGCGTCTGCTAAATGATGTAAATGTAAATGTAATGCCAACTTCACCACTAGGAGCTCCCGGTCGCCGACGTCATAGTACCTCTCTGCAGGAGACAATTTCTTTGAGAAGTATGCACAGGGATACAATTTATGTGGGTTACCTTGGCGTTGGGACGCCCACTTCTGAGGCGTCCACCTCCACCATGAAGGGCAGCGTAGGATCTGGGTGTTTCAGCCATGGGGCGGAGGTGAAATGCCCCTTCAGGAGGAGAAGGCCTCATCGGCTGCAGGACTCCACACCAACTTACGAGGACCACCCTTGAGGAGAGAGGAGAGGCTATGGAGCTGAAGTTCTTAATGAAGCGGCGGTAGAAGTTGGCAAAAAAAAAACAGACACCATTGGAGCCCCTTTATGGTGGTTGGGACTGGCCATGACCTGACTGCTTTGACCTTCCTTTCATCCATACTCACCCCCTGCGGGCTGATCCGGTATCCCAAGAAGGAGACATCGAAATGATGGAACTGGCACTTCTCCGCTTTAACATAAAGGCGGTTATCCAGGAGGCGTCTCATGACTACTCGGACATGAGCGATGTGATCCTCCAAGTTGGCCGAGTAGACCAGGATGTCGTTGATATACACGACCACCTGGCGCCCGACCATGTCCCGGAACACCTCGTTCACGAAACGCCTGAAACACTGACGGAGCATTGGCTAGTCCATAAGGCGTCACCAAGTACTCGTGGTGACCAGACGTCGTGCTGAAGGCCGTTTTCCACTCATCCCCCTCTCGGATGCGGATAAGATTATAGGTGCTCCGCAGGTCCAGCTTCGTAAAAAAAAAACAGGCCCCGCGGAGCTGTTCGATGGTGGCCGGTACCAATGGGAGAGGGTAGCGGTATTTAGTGGTGATGGAATTGAGACTTCTGTAATCGATGCAGGGACGAAGACCCCCATCCTTCTTGGTCACAAAGAAGAAACCTGCCGACACAGGAGAGGTGGATGAGTGGACAAAACCCTGTTGGAGAGCCTCCTGGATGTACTCCTCCATGGCCTGGGTCTTAGCCACCGACAGAGGGTAGACGCGGCTAAGCAGCGGCGCAGATCCTTCTAGCAGGTCGATGGCACAGTCCCAGGGGCGACAAGGAGGTAGACAGGTGGCTTGGGTCTTGGAGAACACCTCCCGGAGATCCTGGTAAACCTCCGGGATGTCAGGCTAGAGGGCAACTACAGGACTCTCAACCGACGTGGAACCACAGGGCAAGGGAAAGCAGGTCCTCTGGCATCCGGGTGCCTAGTCGATGATTTCCATCCTCGACCAGGAGATGGTGGGGTCATGGTGCCAAGCTTATGATCATAATGCAGCAGTGTGTAGGAGGGAGATTCCACAATGTGAAAATTGTGCAGGAAAGCATGGGACAAAATAATGTGTTGTATCAGTGAAATAAGTGGTATTTGTGTTAACTGTAGGGGTGCCCATGTTGCTGGGATCAGAAGTGTCCGGTGTGAGAGAGGCAGGTTGAGTTTGCCAGGGACAGAGTTGTACAGAAGGTGTCATATGCTGAGGCAGTGAAGAAAGTAGAGGAAGGGATCAAGGGTGAAGGATCCTAAGAGGCTTACGTGAGTAGTATACTTTTTCCAGTACAGAGTGATAGGCCTACAAATGAAATGGCTTCAGTAAGGTTGGTTTTTAGAGTTCATTGTCATGGTTATCAACTGTACTGCAGGAATGGAACATAAGTCACAGAAAATAGGTGTTGTGGTGGCAGCTGCAGAGAAGTACTTGAGATTACGAGATTTTACAGCAGAAGAGTTACAGGGGTTGTTGAATGGTATTGTAGGATCAGATAGGGTTAAAATCATGGAATGGGTGTTGGGTTTTTAATGAGTGTAGGGTTAGTTGGCATCGTAATCTTTTGTATTACAAATTATAATTGATTTATACTCCAGTCCAGTTGGTGGCGGTAATGCAACATTATATTGGAGTCCAACCGCCGTTAAACCCTACCAAAGCAGAAGAAGATCCCTTGCTAGTTGTCTCCATCTGTCGGTATTTTAGTAGTACACCACTCACAGGAAGTTGCAAACCAAGCGCGCTTGGTAACAAACCGGGCCGGGCATCATTGGGAGAAAGGAATAACTGCTGATTAATCAACGCTGAATGAAACTGAGTTTTAAGAAATCTCTTCTTTATTAATTTATTCCCCATCGTAGCTAGTACGTGTTCCTGTGCACCACGTAAACGAAGGGCTTTGTGGCACAGCGCAATTTTTAGGTATGAATGCGCATCTGGTTGTCTGTGCTCTTCTACAAATAGCCTAGCAACACACAGTCCATATGGCAGGCCTTTGAATTAGCGTGCTAGCTAGCTCGAGCTGGATGAATGAGCGACACGAATGTTCTTTTTTTGTTACTATTGCCAGCTTGTTAGTCATGCCAGACAGTATGTGCATTTTTGCAATCATAATTAATCAGATTTTGTCTGAGTGATTGATTAGTTACGGCTAATTGCAAGCTACCTAGCTAACGTCTAGCTTACTTACTGCATGGATTGGGCTGAATGTTGCAACTACAAAGGTACTGTAGTGATTAATCTACGCTAGCTAGCTAGATAACCTAGTTAGCTACTTAGGTTAGGGATGGCCAAAGCTAGCTAACATATGGAAGCTTTATTAAACTTCATTTAGAACTTGTTTTCATTGCAAAGTTAAGGAAGCCTTACATTTCCATTAGATTGCTATCCTGTCATGGTGTCTAGATGTATGTAGGTAGCTAGCTAGCTGATGGTTTGCAGTCTAATCTCTTGCAGGTGTCTGAGGTTTGCACCAGCATGTCTGTGTCTGTGATCATTAAATGGGGTGGGCAGGAGTACTCCATCAGTGCACTCTCTGAAGAGGACACAGTGCTGGACCTCAAGCAGTCTATCAAGTCCCTGACAGGGGTTCTTCCTGAGAGACAGAAACTCCTAGGACTAAAAGTCAAAGGTAAGACCTAGCTGATGGACTCAAACGTCTCTCATCATTTGCTGTGATAGCCGTCGATAACAGGCTGCTATTTAGCCGTAAAGCATGGCGATACCTTATTCATTCTCGGCTTGGAAGACACCGGTGTCTTCTAAACTCCCATCGCTAGTTGCAGGTGGAACGTTTGAATGTAGAAAATGCCACCATTGTGGACTTCTGCCTTTGTCTGAGTTGTCTTGACAGCTGAGTCATTATGTGTTAATGGTTCTCTCTCTTTCCCAGGTAAACCAGCAGAGGATGAAGTGAAGCTGGGCTCACTCAAGCTGAAGCCCAATACCAAGATCATGATGATGGGCAGCAGAGAGGAGAGTCTGGTGGGTTCCTCTTCCTTCCACTCCAGAAGTTTACCAGAAGCAATGTCATATATTTAGCATGTCAAAGACCTAGGCCTCATAACACTCAATCGCTTTGTTTTGTTTTGTGAAGGAAGACGTTTTAGCACCTCCCCCAGAGAACGATGACGTTGTCAATGACTTTGACATTGAAGAAGAGGTGATTGAAGTAGAAAACAGGTATAGTAGGACTTTGCAGAGACAACTCATGTAGCTTCAGTAATACAACATTTTACATTTTAGTCATTTAGCGGACGCTCTTATCCAGAGCGACTTACAGTTAGTGAGTGCATACATTTTTCATACCGGCCCCCCGTGGGAATCGAACCCACAACCCTGGCGTTGCAAGCGCCATGCTCTACCAACTGAGTTACAGGAGGCCAAAACAAGTAATTGATTCGGCTCCAATTTTGCTTGACACTATGGTACTTTTTCTAAGGTGTCTCATAGTCAGTTCAATGTCTTATTTTAACTTTATGCCATGCGCTTTGCTGCTTTAGAGAGGAGAATTTGGCCAAGATAGCCCGCCGTGTCAAAGACTACAAAGTGGAGGAGATGAATCCACCCAGGGAAGGAAAGAGGCTGCTAGTACTAGATGTGGACTACACATTGTTTGGTAAGTAGGAAGACCATCAAAACTGCCCAGGGCACTGCTGTTTCGGCTGGTCAAATGCATAATTACACCATTTCAAAATGTGAAACATTTTAGATTTTGTTTAAGAATTTGGATTATTATTGAAAGATTTTATATCCTTGTAGTGCTGTTCTTCAAACTTTTGAGCGTTTTCCTCTGTGATTTGTTTAATTCCAGATCACAAGTCATGTGCAGAGACGGGACAAGAGCTCATGAGGCCTTTTCTACACGAGTTCTTGACCTCTGCGTACGAAGACTATGACATTGTCATTTGGTGTAAGTACCAAACTCCTTGTTTTGATTTTGGAAAGTAAATGTAAAGTTCACGTTAACTCGCCCTAATTTGTTTTGTTTTTCTTCTAGCTGCCACAAGTATGAAGTGGATTGATGCTAAAATGAAAGTATGTATTCCCTTCTGAAAGGTTGATTTTGTATCTTTCTCAATTAAAGGGAATTTGCCAAAATGTTCAACTTCATATTCATCATCTCCAGCATCAACCCAACATCACCATATGTGAAAATTGAAAGTTTCTATGTTTTGTAGTAAAAAAGATGGAGGAAGATAAGTGTTTCCAACCAATTAGTAGAATATTAGTAGGCAATGGTCTACTCATAATTAGTTACAATCACAATCTACACCGATGATGTCATTGGAAACACTTATCTTCCTCTATCTTTTTTACTTCAAAAATAGAAACATTTTCACGTGTTGATTTTGGGGTGGTGCTGGAGATGATGAACATGAAGTTGCATAGATATATTTTTTTATGTTCTGTTAATGTGTTGCCACTTCATGGCCAGAAGAGGGCAATGTTTCCCAAAGAGTTTTCACAGCATGTAAACCTCCATTGAGAACATTATCAAATTTTATTTGTCATACATTTACATTTACGTCATTTAGCAGACGCTCTTATCCAGAGCGACTTACAGTTAGTGCATACATTATTTAATTTTTTCATACTGGCCCCCCGTGGGAATCGAACCCACAACCATAGCGTTGCAAACGCCATGCTCTACCAACTGAGCTACATCCCTGCCGGCCATTCCCTCCCCTACCCTGGACGACGCTGGGCCAATTGTGCGCCGCCCCATGGATACACGTGTTTAGCAGATGTTATAGCGGGTATAGCGAAATGCTTGTTCTTCTAGCTCCGACAGTGCAGTAATATCTAAAAATGTCACAACATATACACACAAAACTAGTAAGGAATGGGATTTAAGAATATATACATATATGGACAAGTAATGACAGAGCGGCATGGACTAAGATACAGTAGAATATTATAGAATAGAATGCAGTATATACATATGAGATGAGTAGTGCAAGATATGTAAACATTATTAAAGTGACTAATGTTCTATTTCTTAAAGTGGCCAGTGATTTCAATAGGCAGCAGCAGCCTCTAATGTGCTAGTGATGGCTATTTAACAGTCTGATGGCCTTGAGATAGAAGCTGTTTTTCATTCTCTCGGTCCCAGCTTTGATGCACCTGTACTGACCTCGCCTTCTGGATGATAGCGGGGTGAACAGGCAGTGGCTCGGGTGGTTGATGTCCTTGATGATCTTTTTGGCCTTCCTGTGAAATCGGGTGCTGGATACGTCTTGGAGGGCGGGTAGTTTGCCCTCGGTAATGCTTTCGGCAGACTGCACCACCCTCTGGAGAGCCCTGTGGTTGTGGGCGGTGCAGTTGCCATACCAGGTGGTGATACAGCCCGACAGGATTCTCTCAATTGTGCATCTGTAAAAGTTTTAGGGTTTTAGACTAAGACGAATTTCTTCAGCCTCCTGAGGTTGAAGAGGCTCTGTTGCGCCTTCTTCACCACACTGTCTGCGTGGGTGGACCATTTCAGTTTGTCGGTGACGTGTACGCCAAGGAACTTGAAGCTTTCCACCTTCTCCACTGCGGTCCCGTCGATGTGGATAGGGGGGTGCACCCTCTGCTGTTTCCTGAAGTCCACGATCATCTCCTTTGTTTTGTTGATTTTGAGTGAGAGGTTATTTTCCTGGCACCACACTCCTAGAGCCCTCATATCCTCCCTGTAGGCTGTCTCGTCATTGTTGGTAATCAAGCCTACTACTGTTGTGTCGTCTGCAAACTTGATGATTGAGTTGGAGGCGTGCTTGGCCACGCAGTCATTGGTGAACAGGGAGTACAGGAGGGGGCTGAGCACACACCCTTGTGGGGCCCCTGTGTTGAGGATCAGCGAAGTGGAGATGTTGTTTCCTACCTTCACCACCTGGGGGCGGCCTGTCAGGAAGTCCAGGACCCAGTTGCACAGGGCGGGGTTCAGACCCAGGGCCTCGAGCTTAATGATGAGCTTGGAGGGTGCTATGGTGTTGAATGCTGAGCTATAGTCAATGAACAGCATTCTTACATAGGTATTCCTCTTGTCCAGATGGGATAGGGCAGCAGTGATTTAATAGCCTGTATTGACCTATAGTGTAGAGCATCAGATCAGATGTTGCCTTCCTGTTGTGGTGTATGTGACCGTCTCGCCGTGCCCTCTGGTTTCTCAGGAGCTGGGAGTGACAGACAACCCCAACTACAAGATCACCTTCATGCTGGACAGTGCAGCCATGATCACAGTGCACACGCCTAAGAGGGGTGTAGTGGAGGTGAGTCGGCCTACACTGGAGCATACAACCTCATAAATCCCACTGATTCATGTCCCATTCGCCTGATGTAACTGTGTCTCAAGTTAGTCTGTCCTGTTGGGTGTGTTTCAGGTGAAGCCTCTCGGGGTGATATGGGGCAAGTACAGTGAGTTCTACAGCAAGAAGAACACCATCATGTTCGACGACATTGGCAGAAATTTCCTAATGAACCCACAGAACGGACTGAAGGTAAGTTATGGTAAAACGTCCATTAATTTAATATATCGGGTGTTTATTTGCTTCAACCGCGGTTGTTGGAGACAGGCACGTATTGGAGACCGGCATTTATTACCATCCGAGGTGTGGAAAGTCCAGCCCACCCTATTATGATTTGGCCATGGGGCACAGAGAACAGTGTGCTGTTTTATAGCTAAGCTCATGCTAATCTACATCCCCCCCCCCCCATGAGGCTGAAAGAAAACGTTGGCAGTTTTAAAGCAAATTTACAGTAATTCTAAACATTTAACATTTTGGCATGGCTTATGTCTTCATATGCTATCTGGGAGGGGGAGGGGGCCCACAACCCCCCCCCCCCCCCCCCCCAAAAAAAAAAAAATCCATTAAAAAGTCACCAGAGCTGACCGTTTCAGTCGTTCTACAATAGAATTACCCCGGGTACCCCGAGCGGGAGGGGGTTCCCCACCCCCCTGTTACAAACATGTCCTGAGGAAACACTAAATACTAGGGCTGGGAATTGCCATGGACCTCACGATACAATATTATCACAATACTTAGATGCCGATAGAATATGTATTGGGATTCTCACGATTCTACAGTGCCTTTGGAAAGTATTCAGATTTTGTTACGTTACATCCTTATTCTAAAATTGATTAAATAAATAAAACATCCTCAGCAATCTACACATAATACCCCATAATGACAGAGCGAAAACAGGTTTTTAGACATTTTTGCAAATGTATTAAAAATAAAAAACATACCTTATTTACATAATAATTCAGACCCTTTGCTATTAAATTCGAAATTGAGCTCCGGTGCATCCTGTTTCCATTGATCATCCTTGAGATGTTTCTACAACTTGGAGTCCACCTATGGTAAATTCAGTTGATTAGACATGATTTGGAAAGGCACACCTGTCTATGTAAGGTCCCACAGTTGACAGTGCATGTCAGAGCAAAAACCAAGCCATGAGGTCGAAGGAATTGTCCGTAGAGCTCCAAGACAGCGTTGTGTCGAGGCACAAATCTGGGGAAGGGTACCAAAAAATTTCTGCAGCATTGAAGGTCCCTAAGAACACAGTGGCCTCCATCATTCTTAAATGGAAGAAGTTTGGAACAACCAAGACTCTTCCTAGAGCTGGCCGCCCGGCTAAACTGAGCATTCGGGGGAGAAGGGCCTTGGTCAGGGAGGTGACCAAGATCCCGATGGTCACTCTGACAGAGCTCTAGAGTTCCTCTGGAGATGGGAGAACCTTCCAGAAGGACAACCATCTCTGTAGCACTCCACCAATCAGGCCTTTATGGTAGAGTGGCCAGACAGAAGCCACTCCTCAGTAAAAGGCACATGACAGTCCGCTTGGAGTTTGCCAAAAGGCACCTAAAGACTCTCAGACCATGAGAAACAAGATTCGCTGGTCTGATGAAACCAAGATTGAACTCTTTGGCCTAAATACCAAGCGTCACATCTGGAGGAAACCTGGCACCATCCCTACGGTGAAGCATGATGGTGACAGCATCATGCTGTGGGGATGTTTTTCAGCGGCAGGGACTGGGAGACTAGTCAGGATCGAGGCAAAGCTGAACGGAGAAAAGTACAAAGAGATCCTTAATGAAAACCTGCTCCAGAGCACTCAGGACCTCAGACTGGGGTGAAGGTTCAACTTCCAACAGGACAACGACCCTAAGCACACAGCAACGACAACGTAGGAGTGGCTTCGGGACAAGTCTCTGAATGTCCTAGAGGGGCCCAGCCAGAGCCTGGACTTGAACCCGATCTAACATCTCTGGAGAGACCTGAAAATAGCTGTGCAGTGACACTCCCCATCCAGCTTGAGAGGATCTGCAGAGAAGAATGGGAGAAACTTCCCAAATACAGGTGTGCCAAGCTTGTAGTGTCATACCCAAGAAGAATCGATGCTGTAATCGCTGCCGAAGTTGCTTCAACAAAGTACTGAGTAAAGGGTATGAATACTTATGTAAATGTAATATTTCATTTTTTTAAAAATTATAAATTAGCAAAAACCAGTTTTTGCTTTGTCATTATGGGGTATTTTGTGTAGATTGCTGAGGGGATAAAAAAAAAAAACATTTTAGAATAAGGCTGTAACGTAACAAATTGAATACTTTCCGAAGGCAATGTATATGTATTGCGATGAGATCCTGTGGTTTTATTGCGATTCGATGTTCCAAACATATTGCTCACCATATGTCTGCTGCAGAGGGAAGTCATGAAAATATTTGCTGAAAAAAATAATTGGCTCCTTATTTAAAAAGGTGGAGAACAAGCTATGAAGAGTTTTGGTGCAGGTACAGTCAACTAGCGCAAAAAAAATATTGCAATATTGTCAAAAATAATATCCAGATATGTAATTATCGATTTTGTAAAAGAAAAAAAAAATCTGTCACTACTGAATAACACCATTTTGGCTTTAGAACGCATTGCAAATATTACCAAAGGGGTGAAGTAATCAGTTCTCCTCACTGGTTACATGGACAGAATTGCGTTTTGACATGTAGGGACCAAATCATTCATCACATGGTAGAGATGCTTTGAAATTCCACTGGAACAGTCCAGCAAAATGCATGGAAGCGTAATTACACTTCATTGGACCCAGTGCTTATTAGAGGCTGGCGTTTATTTGCTAAAATGTGATGGCCGGCCATTATAAGAGACCAGCGTTAGTTTGAGACTCTGCGTTTTAATGGACGTTTTACAGTAAGTTACCCTACCAAAGCCTACTTGAGTCTTCGAGTTGACAGTTGTCATTAGTGTGAATTTTTATAGAAGCCATTTTCAATGTTTTTTTCTCCCTTAGATTCGTCCATTCATGAAAGCGCACTTAAACCGTGAGAAAGACAAAGAGCTCTTCAAACTGTCTCAGTATCTTAAAGAGATTTCCAAACTGGAGGACTTCTCAAGTCTCAACCATAAGCATTGGGAGAGGTAAGGTTACTGAAATATTATTCTGCAACTAACTCCAGCTTAGCATACCTTCCTGTTTTTTTACTATTTCAATACTGACCATTTATCTGAGTGAGTAGTTGGTAGATGACGCTAGCTTTGTGACTGTTGCGGTGTATGTCTGCAGGTATCTGTCAAAGAAACAGAGCCAGTGAGAGCATTGTTGTGGATATGCGAAGGGATCATCATTCCTCCAACCAGGAACAGTGCTGGACACTGAAGCCCTCGCCAAACTACTACTGCCAGTTTCTGACTGGGAGCAGTATCCCATTGTATGGCTTGTTCTTTGACTTCTGTTCTTCCCCCTCATCTCTGAAATTCTTTAACTTCAGTATTACAGTTCTGTCATGTATCCATAAACCGGGAGACACACGGTAAATGCTGTACACATACCGGTACACAGTTTACATTCAATGGTTTTTGTTAGGTTTCACCCAATCGCTCTTTCAGAGTAGTGACTCTATCATCTGTAGCTATGACACTTAAACTCAGTTATACGAACATGAGTTTGTTCTATACTGATACCGTTGCATATTCTCTTTCTCTACACTCCCCCTGGTTCTCTCCCCTATGGCACCATGCCTAGTAGAGATGGTGAAGCTAGCACAGGAAGTGAGTTTTACTGAGTGCACTGACACTGAGGTGGAGTTGCTCAGACAGACAGGTTACTTAACTAACCAGTGAGGTGGATTCGACCTCTATTAGGATGGTGACATCCATATGCTGCTGTCACAGAGGTCATTTCAGAAGGACACGGAAGATGTTGTCCATCAGGCAGTTTAGTTTATCTCATTGTGTACTGACATCAGCAATGCCTGCCTTGAAATAAAATATACAGTGACTTCAGAAAGTATTCAAACCCTTGACTTTTTCCACATTTTGTTGTTACAGCCTGAATTTAAAATGGATTACATTTAGATTCTGTCACTGGCCTACACACAACACCCCATAATGTCAAAGTGGAATTACTTTTTTTTGGTTTTACAAATTAATTAAAAAAGAAAAGCTGAAATATCTTGAGTCAATAAGTATTCAACCCCTTTGTTATGACAAGCCTAAATAAGTTCAGGAGTAAAAATGTGCTTAACAAGTCACAGAAGTTGCGTTGACTGTGTGCAATAATAGTGTTTAACATGGTTTCTGAATGACTACCTCATCGCTGTACCCCACACAAACAATTATCTGTAAGGTCCCTCAGTCGAGCAGTAAATTTCAAACACAGATTCAACCACAAAGCACCTATTGGTAGATGGGTAAAAATAATAATAAGTAGACATTGAATATCCCTTTGAGCATGGTGAAGTTATTAACTACACTTTGGATGTTGTATCAATACACCCAGTCACTACAAAGATACAGGCTCAGTTGCCGGAGAGGAAGGAAACCGCTCAGGGATTTCACCATTAGGCCAAAGGTGACTTTAAAACAGTTAGAGTTCAATGGCTGTGATAGGAGAACTGAGGATGGATCAACATTGTAGTTCTCCACAATACTAACCTAAATAACATAGTCAAAAGAAAGAAGCTTGTGCTGAATAAAAATATTCCAAAACATGCATCCTGTTTGCAATAAGGCACTGCAAAAATACAACTGCAAAGAAATGAACACATCACTGAGTACCACTCTTCATATTTTCAAGCATGGCGGTGGCTGCATCATGTTATGGGTATGCTTGTCATCGGCAAGGACTAGGAGTTTTTTAGGATAAAAATAAACGGAATAGAGCTAATCAAAGGCAAAATCCTAGAGGAAAACCTGGCTCAGTCTGCTTTCCAGCAGACACTGGGAGACAATTTTGGACAATTACCTAAAACACAAGGCCAAATATACACTGGAGTTGCTTACCAAGACAACACTGAATGTTCCCGAGTGGCCTAGTTACAGTTTTGACTAAAATCGGCTTGAAAATCTATGGCAAGACTTGAAAATGGCTGTCAACAACCGACTTGACAGCTTGAAGAATTTTAAAAAGAACAATCCAGATCTGCAAAGCTCTTAGACTTACCCAGAAAGACTCTCAGCTGTGTAATTGCTGTCAAAGGCATTGACTCAGCGGATTGAATACTTATGTAATCACTATGGAATGTCAAAGTGGAAGAAATATTGTAACATTAAAAAATAAAATACAAATGTATGTATATATATATCCACTTTGACATGAGAGTATTTTTTGTGTAGATCATTGACAAAAAAATTACAATGAAATCCATTTGAATCCCATTTTGTAAAACAACTAAATGTGGAAGAAGTCTAGGGGTGTGAATACTTTCTGAAGGCACTGTCTCTGCGCATGGCTAGACAGTATTTTGTTATTATGCATTTGACTGAACTTTGATTTGAACTGAACTCTTTTGTCATATTCTCAGGCAACTATTAAGGCCACTGAAGTTAATGAACCAAACTCTACTTGTGGTAGAATGACTGAAAACAAGTTGGAAAAAGGCACTTATATTGTTATTGGGAGTGGGTGGGACAATTTTAAAGGCATTGCATTAGACTCAGCCCAAGCACTAGACACTAAACTCAGCTCAAATTCTCGTACAAGGTTTATTTGTAAATAGAATTGTCTTTTTTTCAGTTGGATAGTTGAAAGAAGGGATATGGTTCTGAACATTGAGTCAAATACATATGTATCTGTTACTAGTATTCTCTTTAAGAGGCAAATGAACAGTCTTTGACAGTATTTAGGTTAATTCAAAATTTGCCAACATTTGCAATAATCTAAAGATCAACTGCTATCAGAGGAAATTAATAAATGTCAGGGTTTACAGTTATTTTCTGTTTTGGATTGTCAAATATTTATTTTACAGACTAATTTACTACATTGTTTTCTTGTAAAAAATATGTTTTGCTACCTTCATGTCAGGTGGCAAAGGTCAATGTATATAAGCATTTCAGTTGTCAAATTAAGGTACTATCACAGAGTTTCTAAACCGAGGCGCTACATCGCGAGCTTCTGGGAACGCTTGCGAAACAGAACAAACAGACCAGGCACGGGTTTGAGAAGTCAATGAGAGAAGTGAAAAATGATTCCTTAGTTAATTTTCTCAACATCTAAAGGCACAACCTAGATTCGTGCCAATGTCTTAAGTATTTGAACATGTTATTACTCCAACCTTGTGAAAATGACAAACTGACACATTTTCGTCAAAAACAACTTTATATCGAAGGAGTGCCTTTGATTTGACGGTCTGCACATGCGCGAGTAGACCTGATGACGTGTTTCTACACATGAGCTTAGCTAGCCAAAGTCGCCATGACATCACCTATAAGTGTGATCGGGGATTTCAATTGGAGAAGCAGTTTTAGCCTATCTTCATACTGTACTGTCTTTGGTACCAAGCTGTGTGTGCCATGCATCTTAGGCACTGAATACACACTTTGCTAACTGACATACAGTATGTATGGTAAATCATGTCTATGGCTGAAGCAGTACTTTTCAAACTATTTGTTTTGTTCTCAGCTTGTCATATTTCTTACCTCAGTTAAGTTTGCTTCACAATAAGCTGATTTGTAAAAGATGAGAGAACCATCACATTTGTTGTGTCCTGTGAGATTTCATTTGCAGACTGTTGTACACTCCCCTATGTATTTATTTGGACAGTGAAACTAAAATGTTTCATTTGGCTCTATACTCCAGCATTTTGAATTTGAGATTAAATGTTTTATATTATTGCGACACTGCATAATGTGACCTTTTATTTGAGGGTATTTTCATACATATCTGTTTTACCGTTTAAAAATAAAAGCACTTTATGTACTGGTCCTCTGTAGCTCAGCTGGTAGAGCACGGCGCTTGTAACGCCAAGGTAGTGGGTTCGATCCCCGGGACCACCCATATACAAAAATGTATGCACGCATGACTGTAAGTCGCTTTGGATAAAAGCGTCTGCTAAATGGCATATTATATATTATAGTCCCCCCCCCCCCCCCCCCCCCCATTTGAAGGTGAGGGTGTCATAAGTATTTGGACAAATTCACTTGTTTAGTATTTGGTCCCATATTCCTAGCACGCAATGACTACATCAAGTTTGTGACTCTACAAACTTGTTGGATGATTTGTATGTTTTGGTTGTGTTTCGATTATGTTGTGTACAATATAAATTCATCAAATTCATCCAAAAAGTGTACAGTCACAAGCTTGATGTAGTCATGGCATGCTAGGAATATAGGACCAAATACAAAACTTCTGACAATTTAATACACTCAGTGAATTTGTCCAAATACTTATGACCCTTTCAAATGGGGGGACTAGATACATAAAGTGCATTCATTCCTAAATGGTAAAACAGAAAACACCCTCAACTAAAAGGTGACATTCTGTGCTGTCACCTCATAAAGCATTTCCTCTCAAATCCAAAATGCTTGAGTATAGTGCCAAATTAAAAGTTTTAGTTTCACTGTCCAAGTACGTAGGGGAGTGTGTCAGACAACGTGAACATGTTTTTAACAAGTGGACACCGGATTCCTGTTGTGAACATATCCTGACTGTAAATAAAAGATTACACTTTTTACAAAAATTGCTTTTCTGGTCAGATTTTTATACCCAGTCATCTTGTCAGTTTCATTAGTGTAACCATTATAAATACTCACCTGTTATATTCAAGTTTCTTGAAAAGTAATCTGTGAATACTTTGTTGATTCAGATGCAAACAAATTAACGTGAGCATGAATTTTATTTTTGCGTCTATTTAATAATTTAAGTAAACATCTTCATGCTACAGCAATGAAAACCATCTTGGATAAGAGATGAATAACATCAATAATGGTGTAATTACATTTCAGAATTGTACAAATAAATAAATATAAAGTTTGCCTTACATTCAAATCACAACAATAATAGTATACTAGCTACATTCCATAACTTGTCTTCAGTATAATGTAAAATATTTGTTTATGTACAGTGACCAGACTATTCCATATTTGGATGTATTGGTTGAAGCTGAGTGATGGTATGTTGTCGGTCTTCATCTGGGTTTGCTTACCTTTTTACAATAGACAGAAATTAGACATTTTTCTACAAACAACATAAATTGAAAAATTGTGAAATGTTTTTATTTATGGGTGATAAGGAGCCATCAAACCTGTAAATGTTTCTTGGGTTTATTCTTCACCCTGTTGTACAAAGACATGTCAGCCACAAACCTTTAATCTCTTCACAGTTTAGTGCTGTTGAAATTTTTACATTCTTAAACTACTAATGAAGTTGTGTATTAGAGGGCAGGACACAGTGAAAATGTCTAGACTCACTCATGATGGGTCCATTGGCTCCATTGGGAGTCAACCAGGTCATCCTTTGCCCGGAGGCAGAAACGATATTTATTGTGGCGGGGACGAACTGTGAATTTTGTTTCATTTATGTTGGTTTCACTTATAAACACCTATCAAAGAGGAGAGAGGGTACCATCACCTTACATTTACATCATTTAGCAGAAGCTTTTATCCAGAGCGACTTAGAGGAGCAATTAAGGTTAAGTGCCTTGCTCAAGGGGACATCACACATTTCACATAGCCAGCTCGGAGATTCGAACCAGCGACCTTTCAGTTACTGGTCAAACAATCTTAACCGCTAGGCTACCTGCCGCCCTACCTTAGACAGACCAGCCATGTATCACAGACTAGTGTCAATCAAGACACATTGAGGATTCCAAGGATAAAATCATTGCTTATACCTGTTCCTTAGAGTCACAGCTTGCCCCCTGGTGGACCACTTTGACTCGGAACGTGAGGGGGAAGTAAGGCCATGGGCGGCTCCACGTCGCTGGGTACTCCCACTGAAATGTGTTCCCCTCCACCTTGGTGATGTGGATCTTGTCTGGCTTCACTGAGGAGGGAGAGCAGACAGAACCAATATTTCTGAAGGGTTAAATTGGATGGAGGCCATATTAATCAATATACTGTTCAGCATGTCTACATACAGCAAGGATGAAATGAGATGTACTGTATATTAACTTATACCTGTATGATGTGACATTGCTATTTCCAGCGAACGAGTGCGGAGCACACGTGAACCCTGGACTTACTGTACCTATTTCTCGGATGTAGAAGGGTGTGATGGTGTATTCCTCTAGGAGGTCATTGCTCCTGAAGTATACAGTGAGGTCAATGCGGGACACCTCCTCAGCAAAGGGGCAGCTATCCCGGTCCTGACAGGTCAGGCCTGCACCATCACTGTCTACGGAGCAGGAGATGGGGCTGGATGAGGGACACAAATCTCCTGGTTAGCCTTGGTGCTTTCTCTCTCTGAAAGAAGCCTCAGGTCCAAACATAACAAATCAAAAGCTCGTCACAGGGAGACAATGGAGAAAGCATTTGCGCTGTGTTTCAATTGCGACTCACATCATTCATGTGACAAGATCAAATGATGTAAACACAAGTACATGAAAGCAGACTATTGTTTCTATTTACTGTCCATTGCGTGTGTTTGAAGACTTACCGTCCTACTTGGACAAAAACAACAGCTGCTGACATCCGATGCTCAGTCTTCTTCCAAGAGCAATGAAATATTCCACTGTAATTTTTTGCCAAACATCTTATGTACTCTGTGTAAAAAGAGAAACCAAATGAAAAAATGATTCTCTGATTATATCTTTCTTTCTTTCTTTCTCTCTCACCCACCCACCCACCCACCAACCCACCCACCCACACACACACACTCACTCACCATCTTCATCTGTGTCATGTGACTTCTCCAGGACGCATCGTCTGTTGGGTGATTGTATGTCTTGCACCAGCACCAGAGTGTGGTTGAGGTAGACTCCAGCAGCGTTGTGGCAGCTGTAGTTCCCTCCCATCATACTCTCCACTTTCACCCTGATCTGGTTTCCTTGTCCTACATGCTTACTGCCTTTCCTCCATATCACCTCTGTGTCCAGATAGTCCCCACAGCTCAGAGGGACCTGCGTCTCAGTGAAGACCCTTCGATCCACCTTGACGACAAGCACTGGGACCACATGACCACCACTGTTTTAGTATAGCCTCCACGTTTAAATAAGTTCTATTCAAATGTTTGAATTTCATTGGTCTCCCACATATGAATATTATGAGAGCAGAAGTTATATAATCAGAAGTAGATAGTGTGTCTGTAAAGAGAAGTAGACATAGGTAAAGATGAGAGATAAATAGACAAACAGTCACCATTTGGCATGAGAGTCTCAATGGTCTCTGTCCCATGTTGGCTGCTTGATGCCACATGTAGGAGAAGATACAGGACGTTGAGTCGTAACATGTTCATCTGGCAGAAAGAAAATCAAGAGTACTTTAAGTTCATGTCTATTGAATCTAAATGTTAAGGACGTTCTCCTGAACCAGACAAAGTCAAATATACTCTAATCAACAGGCTATACTGTAGTAGTATGTGCATATCTTACCTTGATTATGAGATATAAGCAGAGTGTGAGCCTGGTTGGAGTGTAGTGCTGTCATGTTGACCCAGACAGTATTTATATATCAGTGGAACAGAAGTAAAGAGACTCAAAATAAAAAGTCCCACCTGCCAGCTTAGAGGAACTGACCTATTAGTATTTTTTAAAATAGGATTTGAGAATCAGGATTTGAGAATGTGTGATCAGTTTAAAGGACCAATGGAGCCGTTTCTATCTCTATATCAAATCTTTTCTGGGTAACAATTACTTACTGTGATTGTTTTCAATTAAAATGGTCAAAAAGAAACAAAATAGCTTCCCAGCAAAGAGCAATTTCTCAAGCAAGAATTTTGACAGGACTGTCTGGGAGCAGGGGCGTCATGCACCCCAAAAATCTGAGGGGGCACAAAATGCATGAAGATGGCTGGGGGGTGGTCCATAGGAGATGGGCCCCTCCGTCCGGAAGTTGGAGACTTTTGCATTTCTCAAACACCTGAATCAACTTTTTCCTGCAATCTAGAGCCATAATCATAATGCTTAATTTTATGTACAAAACATGTTTATTTTTCTTCATATCTAAGCATTCCTCTTGAACTGTCTATTCCCCTGACTGGTGGTTATTATTTTATGAAACAAAATATGCTTCTCTGCACCTCTGCTAAAATCTGGGTAAAAGATTGAAAGGAATGTGAGTCTTATTCAGTACATTTAGTTATTTCTTGCTTTTCTAAAGTCTACCATCCTAAGATAGTTTGACAAGCTGGCTACTCTAACTTGATTGATAGCCTGAAATGGCTTCATGGTAGCTAGTTATGAGGTTGGGAGATTGGTACAAAAAGAATGGGCAGGTAGCAATTAGTATTACAGAGTAGTCCATCCCACCCAAAACAGGCTGCAATTAAAGGTGGTCTTTTCAAACAGGTCTTATACTAAAAGGACATTAGCATAATTTTCACATTTCACAATAAAATCACATTTTTAACTGCACTGGACCTTTAAGTAAGAACTAGACTGCTGAATGGGGGGGGGGGGGGGGGGGGGGGGGGTCTATTTCTGCAACTTCTGTGGTATGGTGACTGATGTCACTACCTGAGAGGAACGTAGTAGTGATGCAATCCAGTCATCTGCCATGAGAGCGAATGACCAAGCATCCCAAGATCCCATACTAGTATCTATTTTTGCATGGGCATGACTTTGTTCTAACTGTGTGTGGGCTACATCCTAGCTGTGCTATCAAATGACAAGTCAGGTTTGCACCCAGACTTTAGACAACATTTGTGCGAAGTGACGTTAGGAAAGGAATCCAGGACGTACAGTAGGAGACTGAGACTAAAGAGGACAAAGAGATTAAGGGGAACAGGAAATAGTTGGGTTGAGGTGAGAATCACATAACGCTGGCTACCGAGTATCTACCTACGCTCGGGACGTGTCGTCAAGGAACAAAAACAGGGAACTGTGTCTGAGGTTCAAGCTGACCGCCTCAGGTTCATTGTGATGTAAAACATGTGAAAGTATTCCTGGATGTGTACCTAATAGCTATATACTGTATAAGTATACAGTGGGGGAAAAAAGTATTTAGTCAGCCACCAATTGTACAAGTTCTCCCACTTAAAAAGATGAGAGAGGCCTGTAATTTTCATCGTAGGTACACATCAACTATGACAGACAAAATGAGAAAAAAAATCAAGAAAATCACATTGTAGGATTTTTAATGAATTTATTTGCAAATTATGGTGGAAAATAAGTATTTGGTCAATAACAAAAGTTTCTCAATACTTTGTTATATACCCTTTGTTGGCAATGACACAGGTCAAACGTTTTCTGTAAGTCTTCACAAGGTTTTCACACACTGTTGCTGGTATTTTGGCCCATTCCTCTATGCAGATCTCCTCTAGAGCAGTGATGTTTTGGGGCTGTCGCTGGGCAACACGGACTTTCAACTCCCTCCAAAGATTTTCTATGGGGTTGAGATCTGTAGACTGGCTAGGCCACTCCAGGACCTTGAAATGCTTCTTACGAAGCCACTCCTTCGTTGCCCGGGCGGTGTGTTTGGGATCATTGTCATGCTGAAAGACCCAGCCATGTTTCATCTTCAATGCCCTTGCTGATGGAAGGAGGTTTTCACTCAAAATCTCACGATACATGGCCCCATTCATTCTTTCCTTTACAAGGATCAGTCGTCCTGGTCCCTTTGCAGAAAAACAGCCCCAAAGCATGATGTTTCTACACCTTGTGAAGACTTATAGAAAACGTTTGACCTGTGTCATTGCCAACAAAGGGTATATAACAAAGTATTGAGAAACTTTTGTTATTGACCAAATACTTATTTTCCACCATAATTTGTAAATAAATTCATTAAAAATCCTACAATGTGATTTTCTGGAAAAGAAATGCTCATTTTGTCTGTCATAGTTGACGTGTACCTATGATGAAAATTACAGGCCTCTCTCATCTTTTTAAGTGGGAGAACTTGCACAATTGGTGGCTGACTAAATACTTTTTCCCCCACTGTAATTGCAAAAGGGTTTTCTAATGATCAATTAGCCTTTTATAATGATAAACTTGGATTAGCAAACACAACGTGCCATTGGAACACAGGACTGATGGTTGCTGATAATGGGCCTCTGTACGCCTATGTAGATATTCCATTAAAAATCAGCCATTTCCAGCTACAATAGCCATTTACAACATTAACAATGTCTACACTGTATTTCTGATCAATTTGATGTTATTTTAATGGACAAAAGAATTGCTTTTCTTTCGAAAACAAGGACGTTTCTAAGTGACCCCAAACTTTTGAACGGTAGTGTATTTAGCCACATGCTTTGATAGAGCATAAATCAAATCCACAGTTCCACTTCAGTTCCCCCTCATCTATCAAACTCTTTAGTCATACAGCTCTCACATAGGTTACCTCAGTATGGGACACTGGTTAGAAAATATTCCATATCCACACTTATATCTCAAATAAGCTAATTAACGGTTGTCTTCACTTAGATACTTCATATCATTGTGTAATTGGTTTTTGAATAACATATCCATGGACACTGTGCAAACCAATTCAGAGTCTAATTAACATAATCAGAATGGATGTTTTTATGGTAAAGACCCCTGACAAATCAAATTGTGATTGCCTTATGAAACGAGCGGGACTGAATCTCACTCTGTGTGCCCCCTTTGAGCCATGTTGGCTTCATATGTTAGAACCATTGGGATGCAGTATAGAGTTCATTAGCAGCAGTAGCATCCGCCCCCAGATGAGATGGCCTACTAATTAGCCTAGCGTTGGCATGTTGATTAGATATGACATCCGTTTACAGAGGAATGGATTACACCGTCAGACTAATTGCAAGGGAGAGGCTGAGAGCATTATAGTCTTTCTCAATGACTTCCTCTGAGACGTTGCTGTCAGAGTGCCTCTCTCAATCTCATATACTAGAATTAATGTCACATTTTATTTCATAAAAACGGATTACATTGTTTGGCTTCCTATAGCTGGATTCAGGGACATTATTGTCGCAGAGGATTGTATCGTAGCATAGGGTGAATGTGTTATGATACATGTGCTGTTTTGGGTCTACTGAGAAATAGAAAAATGCATTATTGTGAGCCCCACACCCCTGAATATAAGTAGGTAGCAGTACAATGTGAAAAACTAAAAAAAACATTGATGAGAACAAACTATATTTAAACAATATTGCTTAAATATCAGCGCATCAGCTCTGGGTTTCCCCTCCTTTATACATCATACCAGCCTTTCACATGGACATGGAACATTCACCATGCTGTTTATCTGACTAATATGATGTAGTAAAAGTATGAAAACATTACAAGGCGAAAGGTTCACAAGCTAAACAACTCATAATTTATGGCTGACAGCAGACTTCCTCCAGCAGGAAATGACTGATAGTCTCCTGTTCTAACCTTTTTTAAAACCAGGATTAGATCCATGGGCTGACTCATGGACAGGAGAGTGGATGGTGGTTTGGGTGCCATGGGTGCCCAGGAAAATGAGTAAATACACAGAATATCTAGTCTTCCAAACATGGACATGAGGTCCATCTCTCTCTCCACTGTGATACAATAAAGTGATTTACTCTCTGTCAGCAGATGAAAGGAAATATGGAACCACACTCACAAAGCTGCTTCCCTGTTTTTCATTGTCTTTCCAATAGGTGGAATCCCACAGGGGAAGTGGAGGACATTTCTTCCTCCACAGCTGCAGACGTGGGTCAACATCCTCTAAACCCACAACAACAAAATGCCAGCGTACTCAAACTCAAACTCTATCTGGGTCGAGGTCATTAGGCACGAAATGGGAGAATTTGTCTGGACATGGGGGAGGTACCTACATTTTACAGTTTTGTCATTCTATTTTCAAATCATGTTATTATTTCATATATTTTTTGGTGATCAGGCCACACTGAGGGCCAGCGATTATTACAGACACATGATAATCTGAAGTACCCAAAAGGGCCACTAAATGTCTTGTGATAGATTACATAAAATCCTTGCCAAAATTCTGGTAGTTTACTGGTAAACTTAGAAAGTTTCCAGTAATATACCCTCTCCTTGCAACCCTATTCTTCACATGTGTGATATAGAATCTACAGCTAGTCTTTTAATTCAAGTGTTTTTAAAAACTGTAAAGTACCCTCTGTACAGGATAGGTCATATTACATGGAACCTAGAATTTCCAAATAGGCTGGTTCTGTTCTTCAAACATGACTCCAATTCCATTCTGTTCTGCTTTTACTTTTTAACTGAAACCCCAGAGGCCCTTCTATTCCCAAGAACTGATCCAATGAAATGAGAGAGACATTGTGGAGTACAAATGTTGGTCCATTTAATTAAAAACATTCTATTTCAAAATATGCAACTGGGTTACTGAATTTCATTTTTCATGAATAAGTCTTGATGTGCATTAACACACACAAAGAGAGAAGCAGAATAATGAACTACAGGAGGAGGACAAGACCTCTGGTGTGATTTATGTCCACACTCCACAGTACAACCCCTAGAGACCTGCTAAAGTTGTAACCTCTTCTTAGTATGTTCTGAGGTCTGCCTCATCACCAGAAGATATTGTACACATGAACATAGCTGTACATCCAGCACTTTCTCTCGACAACCTCTCAAACATGCATTTACTCTCTATTTCTCTATCACACACACAAATTGATTACACACTGCTCTGATAAGTATCTTAAAGTATAGTGAAGCAGCATTTCTAAGCACAGTGCCATTCAAAACTTTGCGATGACACCTCATCCCAGCACATTCAGTTTGTACAACATTGTCCTTTTTAAGTTCTACACAGGTTATAACTGGAAACCTACTGGTGCATACAGTCAAACGGAGAGTGAGAGTGTCACGTTTACATGATGGGATGTTTACTGGAGAATGAGAAGGGAACTAATCTGCCGCAGTGACGGCCTAACTTCACAAACCAAGATCGGAACTAAAAGTTATAGTCCACAACATGTGATTCATCTACTTAAGAAGAGTTGACTGGCGGAGCTACATGTAATGTCTGCAGAAAGAAGCTACAGGTCAAAACTGCTACAGGTAAGGTGCATAACAAACAAAGCAATAGAAGGACTGACCGCTGACTGACTTGAAGCTACAGAGGAGATGGAGAGCAGGCAGGCAGGTAGGAGGTTCTGGAACATCGACACAGTCCTCCAAATCAATACAGAATCATCCTTGACAAAGACAAGGACTAAAATGCAACAGCAGTGAAATCAAAACAATAGTAGAAACAATGCAAAATGAAAAAGTTGTTACTGTCTATTCTTCCCCGTTCCTTATAGTTTCCCCAGATCAGAATTTTTTTGGTTGTTCAGTTTCCACTAAAAGCAAGACAAGTTTTTGAAAATAGTTTTTGAAAAAGGTTGATTTGTTAAAAGCCAGGTTGGCAGGTGGTCCTGTCTTGTGGTGGAGTCTCTTCCTGCTCCTGGTTAGTTGTCTTCAGTCGAGGAGGCGGAGTCTTCCTGCTCCTGCTGAGACACAGACACACCCCAGCTGCTATCCCAGCATGCCTTGCAGAATAACCTCCCCATCCCGTCGAGGAGGGAGAAGAAGAGACAGGGAGGGAATACAGCTTAACAAACCCTCACAACTGTAAACAAACCCTTTCAATGACCACACAGCTCGGCTCAGCTCACCTTGGTTCTCTAGTCCTGTTCCAGCACCTTTAAAGACACGTGTTTAACCCTCTACCTCCTTAGCTCCTTCACACACACACACCCCTTACCCACAAACCATCTCAACACAAACACACACTTCCACCCTTCTCTCTCTCGCTCTCTTAGACAAGCTGGTCCTCCCATTGTGGTCCTCTCCCTTCCTGCATGCGTGCCCTGTCCGGGTGCCAGGCACTAGTTTTCCACGGGCGTTGGGTCCTGGGGTAGCATGACGGGCGTGGCTGGTGTGGGGGCGGGCGGTGCCTGGGTGAGCAGGGGGGCGGGCGGCTGGCTGACGATCACCTGCACCACGTAGTCCCTGGAGATCTTCAGCTCCTCCAGCTTCATCTTGTCTGTGAGCGGCCGGCCCGAGAAGAACCAGCGTTGGGTGGCCGCCGCCACGCCCTCCACCGCCTGCAGCCGCCGCTTCATGTGCTGCACCGTGTCCGTGGTCCTCACCGCCAGGCGCAGGTCCCGGCCCGTGGACAGGCGCAGGCGCAGCTGGCACTCATGGCCCTCGCTGGGGGGCGGCTCGCTGACCTCCAGACTCTCCAGGTCACTCTTCTCCTCGATAATGTTGACGGGTGGAGACAGGCAGTAGACTGGCAGCTGGTAGCGGTTCCCCAGCTCGTCATAACACTCCGTCAGTGCGCCTGCAGGGGGACACAGAGGGACAGAGGAACAAAGTCACTCACTGAACAGGACAGACCATTGACTTCTGATTATTCACTCAGTCTGACCTAGTCAGTTCAAAATCTTTGACCAAAGTTTGACCAAAAGGATGCGTGTGACAGAGTGAACCAGTGGAACACTATACAGCCTAAACAGACACAGGCAAGTATCCCTCAGTCAAGTGTATAATAATATAATATAATGTAGTAGTGACACTGTGGCTGCTCCTCCTTGTGAATGGCCTGGAAGTGAGAGTGGAGAGTGAGAGTAGAAAAGAGAGAAGCGAGAGAGAGGAGAGAGGGGAAATGGAGAGAGATAGAGAGAAATTAGTGTTTAGTTTAGGATCCCAAGTAGCGACTGCAGATGCAGACGCTACTTTTCCTGGGGTCCACATTAAACGTACAAATACGCAACAAAGTACAGAACAGTTATAGCTAGACAAGAAAAACATAAGATACTACATGAAATGCAAAAAAAATAAAATAAGAGTTACATATTGGAAAGACACCAAGAGACAAAAAACTATTTACATACTATTCATAAGTACAGTACATATCCTTATATACATTGCATTCAGAAAGTATTTAGACCCCTTGAATTTTTCCACATTGTTACATTACAGCCTTATTCTAAAATTTATTAAATTGTTTTTTCCCCCCCTCATTAATCTACACACACACACACACACACACACAATACCCCATAATGACAAAAGCAAAAACAGGTTTTTTAGACATTTTTGCAAATTTCTTAAAAAGAAAAAACTGAAATATCACATTTACATAAGTATTCAGACCTTTTACTCAGTACTTTGTTGAAGCACCTTTGGCAGCGATTACAGCCGAGTCTTCTTGGGTATGACGCTACAAGCTTGGCACACCTGTATTTGGTGAGTTTCTCCCATTCTTCTCTGCAGATCCTCTCAAGCGCTGTCAGGTGGATGGGGAGCATTGCTGCATAGCTATTTTCAGGTCTCTCCAGAGATGTTCGATCGGGTTCTGGGCTCTGGCTGGGCCACTCAAGGACATTCAGACTTATCCCGAAGCCAGTCCGGCGTTGTCTTGGCTGTGTGCTTAGGGTTGCCGTCCTGTTGGAAGGTGAACCTTCGCCCCAGTCTGAGGTCCTGACGCTCTGGAGCAGGTTTACATCAAGGACCTCTCTGTACTTTGATCCGTTCATCTTTCCCTCAATCCTGACTAGTCTCCCAGTCCCAGACGCTGAAAAACATCCCCACAGCATGATGCTGCCACCACCATGATTCACCATAGCCCAAGCGGGCTGTCTTTTGCCTTTTACTGATGAGTGGATAATCAAGGCCAAGACCTTCAATGCTGCAGACATTTTTTGGTACCCTTCCCCAGATCTGTGCCTCGACACAATCCTGTCTCGGAGCTCTACGGCCAATTCCTTCGACCTAATGGCTTGGTTTTTCATCTGACATGCACGGTCAACTGTGGGACCTTATATAGACAGGTGTGTGCCTTTCCAAATCATGTCCAATCAATTGAATTTACCACAGCTGGACTCCAATCAAGTTGTAGAAACATCTCAAGGATGATCAATGGTAACAGAATGCACCTGAGCTCGATTTTCAAGTCTCATAGCAAAGGATCTGAATACTTATGTAAATAAGGTATTTGTTTTGTATTTTTAATACATTTGTAAACATTTCTAAAAACCTGTTTTCGCTTTGTCATTATGTGGTATTGTGTGTCGATTGGTGAGTAAATTGTTTTATTTCATCCATTTTAGAATAAGGCTGTAACATAACAAAATGTGGAAAAAGTCAAGGGGTCTGAATACTTTCCGAATGCACTGTAGATTGTCATTATGGAACATATTTCCAACCCTTTTTCCATAAAACATTAACATGCTAGAACTGATGCACATCAATAAATAATGGCGACAAAGCAATGTTAAACGACTTTGGGCGCATTACATAAATTCGCCCGGAGGTGGTTTAAACGGCATTCTAATGTAGACTTTGCTGAAAGAAGCAAACTGTATTAAGTTAAGTGTTTTACGCATCCTCAGTTATTGGGAAATTTGAAATGGAAGTTATGGAACTCCCTCGCGTGGTTCTTTTTATGGTGGGAAAGTCCTCAATGAAACTGACATTAAAATGTGAACAATGATACATTTGCTTCTGTTGGCCATCAAGTAGCCTATTCATTTATTTGCCATTGTAGGCCACTGTAGGCTTCCATTTCATACAATAAATATGTTGAAAGGACGATATTACTGGAGTCATTGCAAATCAATTTGTGCGACTTGTGTAGCCTACCTGGAGCTGGCAAAATGATTTAATAAATAGCCTTTAACTTCAGTTTATTGTTGTTGTAGCCTTGTGTTATTATGTAATTAATAATGGACCTGTTTAGTTAATTACATTGGTATCAAAGCTCTATCGCAATTGCCGATCAGTTGTTAGAATGCATTAGATTTACGTAACTAGTCAGATTAGCCTACAGGTAAAACATTTAAAAAAAGATATAAACACTGGTTGTTGTTGACAAGCATTTTCAGTTCATATACATATTATTCATATTTAATTCAGTGATTGAAATTATGACCCCAACCTCAGTAGCCTATTCCAGCAGGCTATTGGGAAACACAAGCACTTCTTACCTAGAAATCGCTTCGCTATTCATGTTGAATAAATTAGTCTCTCAACTTGAACTAAGCAAGCTGCTAAATTGTTCAGTTTACATCTTGTCTAGGCTACCGTAGACTATCTGAAATGAGATGTAGGCCTATCGACTACCTGCCTTTATCCAAGCAAACCATGGCAAAGTTGCAATCATAAACCCAGATTTTAGTCTGTAGCCTACGCCTATTGAAATGACAAGTCAATCTAGCAAATGGGCCATTTATAACAGTTTGTAGTCTTAACATCTGGCACATAATAACAGCACAATTGCCACAAAATAGCCTAGCATTAGTTTTTTAAAGTTTGTCCAAGTGTTTCTTGCTTAGAGATTAAGATCCTCTGTCCAACTTTAATCACTCAAACTCTCCTGTCGGGTTTTTCTATAGTTATGCACATGCGCAAAATATATTTATTTACAATTATAAACCTGGTTTGAGCCCTGAATGCTGATTGGCTGAATGGTATATGCATGACAAAAAAAGTACTTTTTACTGTTCTAATTACGTTGGTAACCAGTTTATAATAGCAATAAGGCACCTCGGGGTTTGTGGTATATAGCCAATATGCCACGGCTAACTGCTGTATCCAGGCACTCTGTGTTGCGTCATACTTAAGAACAGCCCTTAGCTGTGGTATATTGGCCATTTACCATACCCCCTTGTGCCTCATTGTTTAATCATTTCAGTCAAACGAGTTAATTCAACATCCATTGATGGAAAATGATCTGGTGAGTTTAATAAGGGCAAATTATATTTTCTCTTGCGACATATTCAAATTCCTTTATTACGTCATGTCATAACTCGCAATAATTATCCTTTTGATATAAACCAAATTTTGCTTCTTTCTTAACTGGCTTGATAACGTTAAAGGAAAAGGGTTTATTGTATAAATGTGGCAACTCCTCTCCTCTGTAAAAAAACTAATTTGGCCTGGCTTTCAGGGCTTTTGGGCAGGTTTTCAGTGGTCATTGGTCTAGAATTTTTAGCTAGACCTGGCAACCCTGTGCTCGACCCCGAGACACTTGTGTTCAGTTTGCATGGTTAATGCAGCACATGCAACAATGCTGATGACAACGATGCTGTATCCACAATGCGTCTTAATAGCATGTTGATTTGATGAGGATCATCAAGTACTGGCTTTCTCCTCTCAACAGCTCTTATCATAGGAGTACTTCATATGAGTGAGAGAGGGAGAGACAGAGAGGTAGCGGTAGGTAGAGAGAATGAAAGCAAAAGGATTGAAAGGAAAGAGCAATCTTGAGGAGGGTGAAGTGTTTGTAGGAGTTGTGTTTTCAATGATTGGAGGGGGTGTAATACGGTCAGCACCCCAGTTCTGTCACTCAAGAGTGTTTGTGAGGAGTGTGCGAGGGGCTGAGTGAGAGGGCATTGAGTGACGCATGGCTTTCTCCTCAGCAAGCAGTCAATGACAGGCAGAAGCACAACAATACAGTGTTCAGCAGTTTCTTTATCGCGCTGTGTGATTTCTGACAACACTATCCACTCTAGATGCAAATCACATTCAAACAGCCTGCCTCCTCTGTCGCTGTGCTGTGCAGTGTCGACCCGTAATTCAGGGCAGAGCCCCACCTGTTTAGATACAAATAAATAAAATAATGTGTTGCCTGTTTTGCATGTTATTTTGGCATTAATGTGTCACATATCAGTTTGCAAACAATGTAAAAAATAATAATACAAATAGTTAATAAAGCTGCATACAAACACGGTCTCTTTTTTGCTTTCTTGAATAAGGGAGCTCCAAAATGCAGGTATTTCAGCCTAGCTCAGTGCTTTCTGTGGTGGAGGGGCAGCCAGTGGAAAATACAGAGCGTAGGGGTTGGTAATTTTCTCTAGTTGCGCCTTGATTGGCTCAGTGTTCTGTCACTCATGGGGACACTACGTCCCCGCAAAATCTACAGGGAGACCTAGAAAGTTCAAGCCCCCTTGGGTGCTGCCATTGATTTACAATAGAAGTGCCCATCTAAGAAGGCTCAAGGTCATTGGCCACAGATAAAATGACATCAAATCACATTATATCTACCGTAGCTTTGATTGGACTGATCATGTCGTCATACTTTCAAATTCTTAGCTAGCAAGCTAGACAAGCAGTCATCATCATGTATCACGTCAACAATCTACTGGCAAATCCTTTTCATATGAAGAGAAATGATAGATAAAACGTATCGGTGCTCTTCGGCCATTGGACATAAACATTACACAACAAGTTGGAAATCACTAATTCAACAATGAGTGGTTTGGAAGGAATCAGTGGCTAACTGCAAGCATTGCAAAACAATCAATATTTTGCTTCCCCTGCCTGATATTCGGTGGAGAGGGTGTGTGGTCCAAGTCTGGGTTTAAGGGTCTCTTTTCCAAGCTTAAAAGGATAAACATTCACAAGCAACACCATGGGCCAGAAAAGGTTGAATACATTGGCCATGCTGTCAATCCTGCATGACTTCTGCCGGGTTCAAAACTGGAAACTCGGGACTGGGAAATCTCAAGACAACTGGGAACTACAGTGAGGGAAAAAAGTATTTGATCCCCTGCTGATTTTGTACGTTTGCCCACTGACAAAGACATGATCAGTCTATAATTTTAAATGGTAGGTTTATTTGAACAGTGAGAGACAGAATAACAACAAAAAAATCCAGAAAAACGCATGTCAAAAATGTTATAAATTGATTTGCATTTTAATGAGGGAAATAAGTATTTGACCCCTCTGCAAAACATGACTTAGTACTTGGTGGCAAAACCCTTGTTGGCAATCACAGAGGTCAGACGTTTCTTGTAGTTGGCCACCAGGTTTGCACACATCTCAGGAGGGATTTTGTCCCACTCCTCTTTGCAGATCTTCTCCAAGCCATTAAGGTTTCGAGCCTGACGTATGGCAACTCGAACCTTCAGCTCCCTCCACAGATTTTCTATAGGATTAAGGTCTGGAGACTGGCTAGGCCACTCCAGGACCTTCATGTGCTTCTTCTTGAGCCACTCCTTTGTTGCCTTGGCCGTGTGTTTTGGGTCATTGTCATGCTGGAATACCCAACCACGACCCATTTTCAATGCCCTGGCTGAGGGAAGGAGGTTCTCACCCAAGATTTGACGGTACATGGCCCCGTCCATCGTCCCTTTGATGCGGTGAAGTTGTCCTGTCCCCTTAGCAAATGGGACAAGATGAGTCCCATTATGCCTGGCGAAAACCAAACACTGCATTCCACAGTAAGAACATCATATCAAAGGTCAAGCATGGTGGTGGGGGTGTGATGGTTTGGGGATGCTTTGCTGCCTCAGGACCTGGACGACTTGCCTTAAATGAAGGAACCATGAATTCTGCTCTGTATCAGAGAATTCTACAGGAGAATGTCAGACCATCCGTCTGTGAGCTGAAGCTGAAGCGCAGCTGGGTCATGCAGCAAGACAATGATCCAAAACACACAATCAAGTCTACATGAAAATTGATAAAATTGGAAGTTTTGGAATGGCCTAGTCAAATTCCAGACCTAATCCCAATTGAGTTGTTGTGGCAGGACTTGAAACAAGCAGTTCATGCTTGAAAACCCACACGTCACTGAGTTAAAGCAGTTCTTTAAGTTCATGGAAGAGTGGGCCAAAATTCCTCCACAGCGACGTGAGAGACTGATCAACAACTACAGGAAGCATTTGGTTGGAGTCATTGCAGCTAAAGGTGGCACAACCATTTATTGAGTGTAAGGGGGCAATTACTTTTTCACACAGGGGAATTGGGTGTTGCATAACTTTGTTTATGAAATAAATATGTAATTGTTGTGTTATTTATTCACTTATGTTCCCTTTATCTAATATTAGGTTTTGGTTGAAGATCTGATAACATTCAATATCACAAATATGCAAAAGTAGATAAAATTAGAAAGGGGGCAAATACTTTTTCATAGCACTGTACATACATACATACATACATACATACATACATACATACATACATACATACATACATACATACATACATACATACATACATACATACATACATACATACATACATACATACATACATACATACATACATACATACATACATACATACAGTGGGGAGAACAAGTATTTGATACACTGCCGATTTTGCAGGTTTTCCTATTTACAAAGCATGTAGAGGTCTGTAATTTTTATCATAGGTACACTTCAACTGTGAGAGACGGAATCTAAAACAAAAATCTAGAAAATCACATTGTATGATTTTTAAGTAATTAATTTGCATTTTATTGCACAACATAAGTATTTGATACATCAGAAAAGCAGAACTTAATATTTGGTACAGAAACCTTTGTTTGCAATTACAGAGATCATACGTTTCCTGTAGGTCTTGACCAGGTTTGCACACACTGCAGCAGGGATTTTGGCCCACTCCTCCATACAGACCTTCTCCAGATCCTTCAGGTTTCGGGGCTGTCGCTGGGCAATACGGACTTTCAGCTCCCTCCAAAGATTTTCTATTGGGTTCAGGTCTGGAGACTGGCTAGGCCACTCCAGGACCTTGAGATGCTTCTTACGGAGCCACTCCTTAGTTGCCCTGGCTGTGTGTTTCAGGTCGTTGTCATGCTGGAAGACCCAGCCACGACCCATCTTTAATGCTCTTACTGCGATCCATCCTCCCCTTAATACGGTGCAGTCGTCCTGTCCCCTTTGCAGAAAAGCATCCCCAAAGAATGATGTTTCCACCTCCATGCTTCACGGTTGGGATGGTGTTCTTGGGGTTGTACTCATCCTTCTTCCTCCAAACACGGCGAGTGGAGTTTAGACCAAAAAGCTATATTTTTGTCTCATCAGACTACATTACCTTCTCCCATTCCTCCTCTGGATCATCCAGATGGTCATTGGCAAACTTCAGACGGGCCTGGACATGCGCTGGCTTGAGCAGGGGGACCTTGCGTGCGCTGCAGGATTTTAATCCATGACGGCGTAGTGTGTTACTAATGGTTTTCTTTGAGACTGTGGTCCCAGCTCTCTTCAGGTCATTGACCAGGTCCTGCCGTGTAGTTCTGTGCTGATCCCTCACCTTCCTCATGATCATTGATGCCCCACGAGGTGAGATCTTGCATGGAGCCCCAGACCGAGGGTGATTGACCGTCATCTTGAACTTCTTCCATTTTCTAATAATTGTGCCAACAGTTGTTGCCTTCTCACCAAGCTGCTTGCCTATTGTCCTGTAGCCCATCCCAGCCTTGTGCAGGTCTACAATTTTTTATCCATGATGTCCTTACACAGCTCTCTGGTCTTGGCCATTGTGGAGAGGTTGGAGTCTGTTTGATAGAGTGTGGACAGGTGTCTTTTATACAGGTAACGAGTTCAAACAGGTGCAGTTAATACAGGTAATGAGTGGAGAACAGGAGGGCTTCTTAAAGAAAAACTAACAGTTCCGTGAGAGTCGGAATTCTTACTGGTTGGTAGGTGATCAAATACTTATGTCATGCAATAAAATGCAAATTAATTACTTAAAAATTATACAATGTGATTTTCGTTTTAGATTCCGTCTCTCACAGTTGAAGTGTACCTATGATAAAAATTACAGACCTCTACATGCTTTGTAAGTAGGACAACCTGCAAAATCGGCAGTGTATCAAATACTTTTTCTCCCCACTGTACATACATACATACTAAACAAAATATAAACGCAACATGCAACAATTTCAAAGATCTTACTGAGTTACAGTTCATACAAGGAAATCATTAAATTGAAATATTAGAATTAGGCCCTAATCTATGGATTTCATATGACTGAGAATACAGATATGCATCTGTTGATCACCAATACAAAAAAAATGTAAGGCCATGGCTCAGAAAACCAGTCAGTGTCTGATGTGACCATCATTTGCCTCGTGCAGCGCAACATCTGCTTCACATAGAGTTGATCAGGCTGTTGATTGTGGATTGTGGAATGTTGTCCCACTCCTCTTCAATGGCTGTGCGAAGTTGTTGGATATTGCCGGTAAATGGAACACGCTGTCGTACACGTCAATCCAGAGCATCCCAAACATGCTCAATGGGTGACATGTCTGGTGAGTATGCAGGCCATGGAAGAACTGGGACATTTTCAGCTTCCAAGAATTGTGTACACATCCTTGCGACATGAGGTGATGGCGGCGGATGAATGGCATGAAAATGAGCCTCAGGATCTCGTCACAGTATCTCTGTGCATTTAAATAGCCATCGATAAAATGCAATTGTGTTTGTTGTCCGTAGCATATGCCTGCCCATACCATAACCCCACCACCACCACGGGGCACTCTGTTCACAACGTTGACATCAGCAGTCTGCCATCTACCTGGTACAGTTGAAACCGGGATTAATCTGTGAAGAGCACACTTCTCCATCATGCCAGTGGCCTTCGAAGGTGAGCATTTGCCCACTGAAGTCGGTTACAACGCCAAACTGCAGTCAGGTCAAGACCCTGGTGAGGACGACGAGCACGCAGATGAGCTTCCCAGAAACGGTTTCTGACAGTTTGTGCAGAACTTCTTCAGTTGTGCAAACCCACACTTTTTTCAGTTGTCCGGGGGGCTGGTCTCAGACGATCCTGCAGGTGAAGAAGCCGGATGTGGAGGTCCTGGGCTGGTGTGGTTACACGTATTCTGCGGTTGTGAGGACTGTTGGAAGTACTGCCAAATTCTCTAAACGACGTTGGAGGTAGCTTATGGTAGAGAAATGAACATTCAATTCTCTGGCAACAGCTCTGGTGGACATTCCTGCAGTCAGCATGCTCCCTCAAAATTTGAGACATCTGTGGCATTGTGTTGTGTGACAAAACTGCACATTTTACAGTGGCTTTTATTGTCACCATAACAAGGTGCACCTGTGTAATGATCATGCTGTTTAATCAGCTTCTTGATATGCCACACTTGTCAGTTGGATGGATTATCTTGGCAAAGGAGAAATGCTCACTAACAGCGATGCAAACAAATTTGTGCACAAAAGTTGAGAGAAATAAGCTTTTTGTGTGTATGGAACATTTATGGGATCTTTTATTTCAGCTCATGAAACATGGGACTGACACTTCACATGTTGCGTTGATATTTTTGTTCAGTATAGAAAGATAGATAATAGATAAATGGAGATGAGTGGAGGCAGGGAGAGATGAGTCAGTAATAGACATACATTTATAGTTAGAGGATGCAACATTGTATCTGTCCCATTATGGCATCTGTGAGCATGGCCAGCGCCATTGAGGCCATCTCCATTTTATAGTAAAAGGTCTTCTTCTACTATTACTTCTATGAGCTGGTAAACAAACGCACACACTGTGTGACACACACACACACACACACACACACTCCTTCTCTCTTTAATAAACCCCCCCCTCTGGAAAGCATCCTAAAGAGCCTCCCACCAGAGCCATTACACTCAGCGCTACAACAGCTCCTCAATGACACCAGATGGCTGGGAACGATTGGCCCATCAAAACGCCAGCCGAAGCCTTACAGGCCCGCTCAATTACCACCATGCATCAGACGTAGAGGCAGTGCTGGCCTGTCTTTGAGATGCCCCTTTAATGTTCACTTGAGTGTAAAGGAGCAGCATTCAGGGGCACACGATTCCCACAGTAGTGTTCTCTCTCTCTCACAGGCCCACTGACTGTGAACAAGAGCAGCGCTGACAGAACAGGAGGGGAGCTTCTTAATCCTCTTTAGACACATTGGTGCTGCTTATGAAATGACACAGGAAAACTGGCCCTTTCCAAGTGTAATGTGTGATATTTCAGAGCTATTGAATGGAGTCTTCAGCTTGTACAGACCTAATGACTGCATGTTACAGTCCTGTAACTCGATGAAGTCTTCATGGACCGGTTATGCTATAGCTACAGCAGCACTGACACTTCTCATTCCAAACCAGCTCCATGTCTACGTCTCAAATGATTCCCTATTTAGTGCACTAGGGCCCATAGTGCAATGTATTTTACCAGAGCCCAATGTAGAGCAGGGATCATCAACTAGATTCAGTCGCGGGCCGATTTTTTCCTTGAGGGGATGGTCGGGGGGCAGGAACATAATTACAAATAATTTGTAGACTGCAACTTGACAGCAAGAAGCCCAAACAGATTTAAAGTTTGACTAAAACAATCATTTCAAACATTGCTTACATTTGTATCCGATCACATCTACTATGCATGGGAATACTTGGGAACCGATTTCTTAAATTAAAATCACTTGGAGCTGATTTCCTGGTGTTTTTACAGTCTTTTATGTCCAACAATGGGGGGCAAATAAATCTAACCGCGGGCCAAATTCGGCAAGCGGGCCGCCAGTTGGGGAACCCTGATGTAGAGAACAGGGTACCATTTAGGACACAGGGAGACCAGGCCACAGGAGAAGTGAGGAACAGCGATGTATGAACCCAGCTAGCACATAACGTTCTGAGAACCATTTGTTTCTTAGAGCTTGGTGAGAGTGTGGTTGTCCTATGGTTATTTTGCATACAACCTTACCCACAACTTTCTGGGAATGGTGTAGGATAGTTGCTTGGTATTTCATTACTTGAACAGAACGTTTCCTAAAAGTTCAAACATGGTTACATTTACGTTAAATGTTGGTAATGTTCTAGGAACGTTCTCCAACTGGTTTGACATTGGGAATGTTCAAATAGTTCAGAGAATGTTAAGAAACAACGTTCTTCTGTGGGAATTTCAGTAATTCAGTATAACGTTTTCTACAGGTTTCCTCATGGTTCTATTTTATGTTTAAACGTGTATTTTCCCATATATTGACACATCCTATGTGTTTTAATCAACTATATTCACTGAGCTTGTCTGATGCTTTAAGCACACAGTTTGATTAAATAATTAAGACACACAAATGACTAGAGGGAGTCTGACCAGCAATTTATTTGATTGTGCCTAAGGAATGATTACTGCCTAAGGAAATTAATTTCCATGTGTCCTATATGAGCTTGGAGTTCACAATAGTTAACCCAAAATAAGCTAGCAGTGTTATTAAAAAGAGATTCTCTGTACATTTGTAAACTTTTTAGCCAGTTGTTCTGAAAGTAGCGTTCACGAGCCAAAAGTGGTCCCTGAAAATTGCGACTAGGTCACATATGTGCAGTTATGAGCACCACGCCATTGCTCTCGCTCTGCTGTGTGTGCATCATGTTCATCTTGCTAGGTGTCACTCATATGGCGAGCGGCTGAAGCTGATTGGTTGAATTTGAATTGCTAGGGGGCTGGCCCACGTGGGGGAAAATGTAGGGTAAATGGCGCAGATTCCAGAGAAAGTCGCTTCAAACTAGGGATTTTGTGGCTAATTGAGGTCAAACAGTATTTCTGCTCATAGATTATGCATGCATGAACTCCACATTGACACATCCAGCCCAAAGCGGGAGGTTTAAAAAAATACTTTGTAGTCGCCAATGTTCCGGAGCATGTCTTTAAAAGTCTTGAAACATTCAGTGAAAGTTAAGTTATTAAAAAAAACTCAAAATAACCTATAATTTCCGTTCTCAGAGCATTAATAAAACTTTAAAGGAACCAGAGTAAAGAATTCTCAGAATATCCCTGCAAACTAAAAATAAACGTTCCCAGAACAGGCAACATTTTCACTTCTGTTCTCAGAACGTTCAGTTTTACCGGTCAGGAAACGTATGGTTTTGTTCCCAAAACCAAACGTGAATCCAAAAACATACGTTCCCACAACTTCCAAGGAACCAAACGTGCTAGCTGGGAAGGGTTCAATACGTTTCAACTTTCAATGTCACATGCACAAGTACAGTGAAATGCCTTTCTTGCAAACTCAAAACCCAACAATGCAATAATCAATAACAATGTAATACTAGAAAAATAAACACGAGAAATAAGAAGAACATAATCAGTAAGTAAGCATACTACAGTGAGGGAAAAAAGTATTTGATCCCCAGCTGATTTTGTACGTTTGCACACTGACAAAGACATGATCAGACTATAATTTTAATGGTAGGTTTATTTGAACAGTGAGAGACAGAATAACAACAACAAAATCCAGAAAGACGCATGTCAAAAATGTTATAAATTGATTTGCATTTTAATGAGGGAAATAAGTATTTGACCCCCTCTCAATCAGAAAGATTTCTGGCTCCCAGGTGTCTTTTATACAGGTAACGAGCTGAGATTAGGAGCACACTCTTAAAGGGAGTGCTCCTAATGTAATCTTGTTACCTGTATAAAAGACACCTGTCCACAGAAGCAATCAATCAATCAGATTCCAAACTCTCCACCATGGCCAAGACCAAAGAGCTCAAAAATCAGCAGGGGATCAAATACTTTTTTCCCCTCACTGTATATACAGGGTCAGTTCAAATACCATATTTACAATGTGCAGGGATACTGGAGTGGAGGTAGACATGTATAGGGGTAAGGTGACTAGGCAACAGGATAGAAGATAAACAGAGTAGCAGCAACAGCTTGTATGTGAGTGGGTGTGTGTGTGTGCAGTCAGCATAAATGTACAGTGCATTCGGAAAGTATTCAGACCCCTTGACTTCTTCCACATTCTGTTACGTTACAGCCTTATTCTAAAATGGATCAAATTGGGGTTTTTTTCTCATCAAACTACACACAATTCCCCATAATGACAAAGAAAAAAATCAGATAGTCTGTGTAGCTATTTATCAGTATATTGCTTGGGGATAGAAGCTGTTCAAGTGCCTGTTGGTGCCAGACTTGATGAACCGGTACCGCTTGCCTTGTGGAAGCAGAGAGAATGGTCTATGGCTTGGGCTTGGAGTCTAACTATTTTCTGGGCCTTCCTACCCACCGCCTGATATAGATGTGGTGGATGGCAGGGAGCTCGGCCCCAGTGATGTACTGGGCTGTCCGCACCACCTTCTGTAGCGCCATGCGATCGAGGGCAGTGCTATTGCCATAGCAGGCAGTGATGCAGCCTGTCAAAATGCTCTCAATTGTACAGCTGTATAACTTTTTGAGGATTTGAGGGCCCATGCCAAACTTTTTCAACCTCCTGAGGAGGGAAGAGGTGCTGTCGTGCCTTCTTCATGACTGTGCGTGGGTGTTTGGGCCATTTTAAGTCTTTAGTGATTTGGACACCGAGGAACTTGAAGCTCTCGACCTGCTCCACTGCAGCCCCGTCGATGTGGATGGGGGTGTGCTCCCCCCCCCCCATTTACTGTAGACCACGATCAGCTCCTTGGTCTTGCTGACGTTGAGGGAGAGGTTGGTGTTCTTGCACCACACTGCCAGGTCACTGACCTCCTCCCTGTAGGCTGACTCATCGTCGCCGGTGATCAGGCCTACCACCATCGAGTTGTCAGCAAACTTGATGAGGGTGTTGGAGTCGTGTGTGGCAGTCGTGGGTGATCAGGGAGTCAGGAGGGGACTAAGCACACACCCCTGTGTTCAGGGTCAGTGTGACGGAGGTGATGTTGCCTATCCTCACCACCTGGGGTCGGCCCGCCAGGAAGTCCAGGATCCAGTTGCAGAGGGAGGTGTTCTAAGCTTGGTGACGAGCTTGGAGGGGACAATGGTGTTGAACGCTGAGCTGTAGTCAATGAACAGCATTCTCACATAGGTATTCCTCTTATCTAGGTGGGTGAGGACAGTGTGGCGAGCAATTGAGATTGCGTCATCTATGGATCTGTTGGGTCGGTATGCAAATTGGAGTGGGTCTAGGGTGTCTGGGATGGTGGAGTTAATGTGTGCCATAACCAGCCTCTCAAAGCACTTCATGATTACAGAAGTGAGTGCTACAGGATGGCAGTCATTGTGGCATGAAGCCTTAGAGTTCTTGGGGACAGGAATGATGGTGGTCATCTTAAAACGTGGGAATTACAGACTGGGACAAGGAGAGGTTGAAAATTACTGCGAATATGCCTGCCAGCTGTTCTGCGCATGCTCTGAGAATGCGCCCTGGAATACCGTCGGGCCCCTCTGCCTTGCGGGTGTTGACCTGATTAAAGACCATTTTCACATCAGCCTCGTAGAGCGAGATCACCCAATCCTCTGGGTCGGTGACGGCCCTCACACCCGGCACGATGTTGTTGTTGTCAAAGCGTGCATAAAATGTATCCGTAATGGACTGTAGCCCAACATGCAGCAGGCAGGATTCGACCTTATTCCTATATTGTCCTTTTGCTTGTTTGATGACTCTGCGAAGGTCATAGCGGGACTTCTTGTACTTATTCCTGCCCTCGGCCGTAGCCTCAGGGTTGTCTATGATAGCTCTGTGTGCGGTAGCCCTGTCCTTTAATTTAGCGCCAACCTCGGTGTTAAACCAGGGCTTTTGATTGGGGAAGCAGCAAACCCTCACCGTGGGAACAACGTCACTGATACATTTCCTAATGAAGCTGGTGACTGAGGTCAATGTTATCAGTGGAGTCTCGAAACATATTCCCATCAGCGCTAGCAAAGCAGTCCTGTAGCATCATCTTTGATTCTGGTGACCATTTCTCAATGGAGCGAGCCATGGGTACTTCCTGTATGAGTTTCTGCTTGTGAACAGGAAGCAGGAGTACGGAGTCATGATCTGATTTGCCGAATGGCGGACAAGGGAGGGCCTTGTATGCTTGCTTGTGTGTAGAATAACAGGGGTATAGGACTTTATCGCCCCTAGTGGCGTTGGAGACGTGTTGCTGGAAGTTGGGCATCACGTGTCTTAGTGACGCAGAATTAAAATCGCTGGCAACCAGAACAGCAGCCTCTGGATGTTTTCTTGCTTGTTTATAGCCTTGTACAGCTTGTTATTTTTCTTTTCCTGAGGTAGAATATGTCTCTTTTGTTGCTGTGTCTTATGCTCCCTGTACAACTGGACTGTTTATTCTATCATAATGTGATAGACTCCACAGAAGGGAGGACTGTTGCAGCGTGGGAACAGTTTCTGGTGCTTTAGTGGGGGGGACTGTTTCTGGTGTTGTGGGGGGAGTTTCTAGTGCTGCTATAGCGTGAATGCCCTGTGTAGTGGGGGGACTGCTATAATGTGACCTCAGCATGCAGTAGGGAATTGCCATAGTGTGAATGCAGGGTGCAGTGGAGGACTGTTTCTAATCAGGCAGTGCTGTGGCCTCCCAGCGGGGGTCCTGTATTTAGTGGTGAGGTGCTCTGTAACACACCTGTTCTGCTGACCTTTCAGCTAGCAGTGTCTCACAGCCTGTCTGAGTGTGTATAGCTGCTATAAACAGTACTCTACTCTCAACTTTCAGCTCTCACATACTGTCCGCCCACCTTACAACCTCCAACAACACTCTGAATTACTCACAACTATTTACATTCTGAATGATTGATATTAAATGTTACAGATGAGGGGCTTTAGGCCATGGTGAATTTGATTCAGTTACAGGAAAGGGGATACAAATTACAAGCAGAGACCACTAGCTGTGGCTGCGACACCTGGAATAGATCACTTTAACACACTTTTCTCATAGGAATTAATAGCCAAACTGGTTTGCCCAAGTCATATTTCCATCTGTTACTACACACCCAAAAAAACATATCAGCCCTTATTCTTCACAGCAAATGTATGTCTGTGTGCTGAAACGACAGTGACCGAGTCAGAGCTTCGGGCCCAGACCCCTCTATCGCTCTCCTAGAGATGTAGCGCAGTGTGCTGCACATCCGTTCCTCCAGGGGGTGTCAGAGCAGACGATAGCAGAGCGGATGATAGAGCAGAGCAGGCAGCTGGTGTCCTGGGCTCCTCCTGGTTCACACGGACTGCAGACAACAGAAAACACTGAGCCGTAGCCTGACCTAGACATATACATGCCACTGCTAGCGGTCTGTCCGTCTGTCTCCCTGCCTGCCTGGTAGGAGAATGTACACATGAGAAGTCTCTTTCAAAAACAACCATGTCGCTCTCCTCTCTCTCCGGGGGTCATGAGCATGCCCTAAATAGCCAGGCCTCCTTTTGGCATCAGTGTCAGACAGTAGGGATGGAGGGGGGGTGGGGTGCTGGGTTGTTCAGGTGTTCAGGTGTAACTCAGAATCATGTCTGGCATATAATAATCACAAGACTTTGTAGTTCCAGCTGAAATCCATCCACTCATTGTAGATCAGGGCCCGTATCCATAAAGCCTCTCAGAGTGGGAGTGCTGATCTAGGATCGATATAGTCTTATTCATTATGATCTAAAAGAAATGCACAGTAGCGGCAAACTGACACTGGAACACTGTCAATTGACTGTCTCATAACCAAACATGTAACCCATATCTCAAACTGATCACATCACCCGTATTATGTTTATGAACTAGCAGTCAGAAATGTTGAAAGCTACTGTAGTAACAGAAGTATGTTGACAAGACAAAGGAGGCCCGAATCTACATGGTTATGAACCTGGCGGTCGGACAGCGATGCCAGAGGAGAGCTGATATGGAGAGATTCTACATTGATTGAACCCTGGTGATTGATTTTCCTTTGTGTGCGAGAGACCAAGAGAGAGAGACAGAGAGAGAAGAGAGAGAGAAGGAGAGACCTGTTTGTGAGATTCCTCCCTGCCTGACTGTCTGCCATTGAGTGCAGCGTAATAGAGGGGTGTGTTTTCCCCTGCTCTCTCAGGAGACATTGACCGCAGGCCTCAGGAATCCACAGCTGCAGCTCCACAGCACCGCACCGCAGCAGCCAGCCAGCCCAGCTAATCTGGCTCTAATCTGGACAAGGGGGGGGGGAATACACAAGGCTAATTTACACCAACCCGGTCTGAGCCAAAATGGCAGACGATTGGCGGGAGAGATAAGGATGTCTCAGTGTATTTTGGAGCGACCGGGGGCCGTGGGAAAGAATGGGCTCAGGAGAGGAGAGGAGGTCTACAATAACTCAGGCCAAATCCATTTTCCGATAAGGCAGCAATCTTGTACTGTGGGTAACCTTGCTGAGAGCTTCCCAGACACCATCTAAAAGCTTCAACCATGTTGTATCTCTGGTCATATAACCTGACACACAGAACATGCAAAGTGGGGGCAGTGTTTTTTCGCCTCATGTAGAGATGTGTGTGTGTGTTAGGGCTGGGAGATATGATTTTTAGGCCATATCTCAATGTTTACTAACTTATGAGCAATTCACAATACAGTGCAATCGGAAAGTGTTCAGACCACTTGATTTTTTACATATTTTGTTACATTACAGCCTTATTCTAAAATTGATGAAATTGATTTTTTTCCCCTCATTAATCTATACACAATACCCCATAATGAAAAAGCAAAACATTTTTTTTGCAAATGTATTAAAAAAAAAAAATGTAAATATCACATTTACATAAGTATTCAGACCCTTTCCTCAGTACTTTGTTGAAGCACCTTCGGCAGCGATTACAGCCTCGAGTCTTCTTGGGTATGACGCTACAAGCTTGGCACACCTGTATTTGGAGAGTTTCTCCCATTCTTCTCTGCAGATCCTCTCAAGCTCTGTCAGGTTGGATGGGGAGCGTCGCTGCACAGCTGTTTTCAGGTCTCTCCAGAGATGTTCGATCGGGTTCAAGTCCGGGCTCTGGCTGGGCCACTCAAGGACATTCAGAGACTTGTCCCAAAGCCACTCCTGCGTTGTCTTGGCTGTATGCTTAGGGTCGTTGTCCTGTTGGAAGGTGAAACTTAGCCCCAGTCTGAGGTCCTGAGCGCTCTGGAGCACGTTTTCATCAAGGATCTCTCTGTACTTTGCTCCGTTCATCTTTCCCCTCGATCCTGACTAGTCTCCCAGTCCCTGCCGCTGAAAAATATCCCCACAGCATGATTGTGTCACCACCATGCTTCACCGTAGGGATGGTGCCAGGTTTCCTCCAGATGTGACGCTTGGCATTCAGGCCAAAGAGTTCAATCTTGGTTTCATCAGACCAGATAATCTTGTTTCTCATATCTTTAGGTACCTTTTGGCAAACTCCAAGCGGGCTGTCATGTGCCTTTTACTGAGGAGTGGCTTCCGTCTGGCCACTCTACCATAAAGGCCTGATTGGTGGAGTGCTGCAGAGATGGTTGTCCTTCTGGAAGGTTTTCCCATCTCCACAGAGGAACTCAGGAGCTCTGTAAGAGTGACTATCGGGTTCTTGGTCACCTCCCTGACCAAGGCCCTTCTCCCCCGATTGTTCAGTTTGGCCGGGCGGCCAGCTCTAGGAAGAGTCTTGGTGGTTCCAAACTTCTTCCATTTAAGAATGATGGAGGCCACTGTGTTCTTGGGGACCTACAATGCTGTATAATTTTTTTTGTACCCTTCCCCAGATCTGTGCCTCGACACAATCCTGTCTCAGAGCTCTACGGACAATTCCTTCAACCTCATGGCTTGGTTTCTGCTCTGACGTGCACTGACAACTGTGGGACCTTATATAGACAGGTGTGTGCCTTTCCAAATCATGTCCAATCAATTGAATTTACCACAGGTGGACTCCAATCAAGTTCTAGAAACATCTCAAGGATGATCAATAGAAAGGATGCACCCAGAGCTCAATTTCGAGTCTCATAGCAAAGGGTCTGTTTTCGCTTTGTCATTATGGGGTATTGTGTGTAGATTGATGAGATTTTTTTATTTCATCCATTTTAGAATAAGGCTGTAATGTAACAAAATGTGGGAGGGAAATCAAGGGGTCTGAATTCTTTCCAAATGCACTGTATATACAGTATCTCAATTATTTTCATGTTTTCTCTAAATGTACAATTAAAGGTCAAATACACTATTTTAAACTGTCAACAATAATGTAATGAATTCAGGGCTTGTGACATTATACCTAGGCTTGAGAAGGTTCAGCTACTGCTTTTTTTGCAATAATTACTGATCTGGCTTTCAATCAGTCTATGAAAATGCCATTTTTGTTACAAATGTAACCAGAACCATGCATAATGCACATTAACTAATAATGACTAACTTCTTGTAGCAGGCATTATAGAAAATTAACACAGGTCTCATAAACAATCTCTGAAGCACAAGCCCACATGCTAGTGAGTAACCAGCTAATCTTTATATTTCAAGTTTAGCCAACTTGGAACTTCGATCTATTTGCTAGCTAACAAGGCAGAGCAGTTCAATTGTTATGAACACACCGTTCTGTCCGTCACCAACTGTTTGAACAACATGCTAGCCTGTCCACTTTGTTCAGACGTCGAAATCAAGTGGCCTACCTTATTTCTCAGAATGAGAACGAGTTGCCAATTCCTTATATAATTGTGTTTATTGTACATTTATAAAACAGAGACTAGTATAACAGTCTTTGGCTCAAATGCTGCTCTGCAATGCTGTGATTTGAGACATAAAAAGGGTTTCGTTAGAAAGGATACCTTCTCCTCTATTACAGTAAAATAATGTCTCAATGTCTTTAGGTGTGACCGATTCTGTTGGACCAAACCGCAAATGCAAATAGCGAGTTGAAACCGTTTGTCAGAGAGGAAGAGGTGATCTCTCCTCTTTGTTGTTGTGAGTGGCAAGGGGAGGGGCTAATGGGAAGGTGTGGTCACAACAGCAGTGAACGAGAACAAACGGACATAAAGGCTCATAAAAACAAACACTTGTGATACAGGCATGATCTCCTCTCTCACACTCTGCTCTCTATCCTTCTCTCCTCTCTCTCTCACACACTCTTCTCTCTATCCCTCTCCTTCTCTTTCTCGCTGGGCTCTATGTTGGTACATGGACTTAAAAAAGGTGAGCTCACCCTGTCTGCCACAGTACAGATCAAACCACTCTCCCCTGCTGTCTCTATGGCTCACACTCAAACCACTCCCAGAGCCAAGGCAGGCACCACACAAACCTTTTAGCAGTGTGTTTGGTGAGAGATCGAAAAGAGGACTTCAAAGCAGAAGTCAAAGAGAAGGAGAGCAGAGGGCAGGCTAATATGAACAAATACTACGCTGACCTTAACCTAGATGGCTCATTCCATCTATTCTACAGTATCCCAGCCTGCCGGCCGGCCGGCCTGTCTCTCTGCAGCAGTGTAACTTCAGAGCAGGACAGTTGGACTATCTTCATAGAGCTAATTGGTTCTGTTCAACAGCCGGCCCCACAATCAGCAAGGCTGCAGGGGGACGAATGGATGTGTCGGTCTGTCTGTCTGTGTCTGGGAGGAGGGATTCAATAATATATGTAATATTCCTCTCCACAGGCCACGGACTGACAGCTTAAGCTGGTAGGGAAGTATATACAAGCGGGGGCCTGCTGCCTCACATGTAGAGAAATTGGATGACAGAACTGACTGAAGCAAAACCGAGATGGAGACAATTAATGGTGTGATGAGATAAGAGACAGAGAGAGGAAGGACTCAAAAAGACTCAGAAAAGCCAACCGGCATACCACCCAGCCAGCATTCCTCTGAAGTTCAACAGGATTGGGTCTAGTCGAGACCACCTGTGAAGATACAGTAAGGTTGTGTTGGAGAGCCAGTAGGGGGCACTCTTTCCTCTGCTCTACTCTAAGGAGTGTCCAATGCCCCAGCGTAGTGACAGGGACCCTGCCCTGCAGAGTCCTTAGGATGAGATGTTAAACCGAGGTCCTGTGGTCACTAAAGATCCCACGGCACTTCTCTCTCCAAAATGGCCACCACAAATCAGTCAGGTGTGTGTTACGGCGTCAGCATGCTTCAGTTCGGCTGGCGCCTAAACCGAACAATATGCTTGCATACTCCCTTAAAAGACCTTCGGTTGAAAAACGAGAAAAAAGTAGCAATAGTAATGTTTATCCATTTTGAGACGCCGTAACCAGTTTATACTTTCTCAAAATAGTCAGAAAAGTATGACACGAATGGTGTGCAGAAAAAGAGGGCTGTGTGTGTGTTGAATCACCGTGACAGACGTAGGACAGACAGAGGGCTAGAGCTGATAGATGTGTCATGTCTGCTGTAGAGAGATGGTGTGTGTGTTTCATACCGAGAGGCAGTGTTATGCTATAACAGTGAGGGGACAGATAGTGTTGAAAGAGGGCAGTGGTCTATGGAATGTGTGACGTATCGTGTGGCAGTGTTACGCTGGCCCAGTTCACGGCAGTGTTATGTTACAGGCTAACAAAGAGAGGGGGCAGATGGATAGAGCTACTAAAGGAGTAGATGTGTGTGGTGTGTGTCGTACCGTGTGGCAATGTTATGCTGGCCCCGTCGATGATGGCCTGGGCCAGTTCATGGTCGTTGCTCTCGAAGGCCTGGGCGGCGGCCCTGAGCGCATCCCAGATCTCCTTGCGGCCCTCGAAGGCGGGCGCAGTGTCCCAGAACTCATCCCGCTTACTGCGCAGCTGGCCGTCCGTCATTGGATAGTCACTCTTCCATTTGGGCTTCTCTCTCTTCAAGGCCTGGTTACGCCCCAGAGCCACTGAGAAAGAAAGAGTTCTATATTTGTTTGTGTATTAATTTCCTTACACTTTACTCTAACCAAATGATATATATATATACACACAGTGGGGAGAACAAGTATTTGATACACTGCCGATTTTGCAGGTTTTCCTACTTACAAAGCATGTAGAGATCTGTAATTTTTATCATAGGTACACTTCAACTGTGAGAGACGGAAAATCACATTGTATGATTTGTAAGTAATTAATTTGCATTTTATTGCATGACATAAGTATTTGATACATCAGAAAAGCAGAACTTAATATTTGGTACATAAACCTTTGTTTGCAATTACAGAGAATATACGTTTCCTGTAGGTCTTGACCAGGTTTGCACACACTGCAGCAGGGATTTTGGCCCACTCCTCCATACAGACCTTCTCCAGATCCTTCAGGTTTCGGGGCTGTCGCTGGGCAATACGGACTTTCAGCTCCCTCCAAAGATTTTCTATTGGGTTCAGGTCTGGAGACTGGCTAGGCCACTCCAGGACCTTGAGATGCTTCTTACGGAGCCACTCCTTAGTTGCCCTGGCTGTGTGTTTCAGGTCGTTGTCATGCTGGAAGACCCAGCCACGACCCATCTTTAATGCTCTTACTGAGGGAAGGACGTTGTTGGCCAAGATCTCACGATACATGGCCCCATCCATCCTCCCCTCAATACGGTGCAGTCGTCCTGTCCCCTTTCCAGAAAAGCATCCCCAAAGAATGATGTTTCCAACTCCATGCTTCAAGGTTGAGATGGTGTTCTTGGGGTTGTACTCATCCTTCTTCTTCCTCCAAACACGGCGAGTGGAGTTTAGACCAAAAAGCTATATATATATATATATATATATATATCTCATCAGACCACATGACCTTCTCCCATTCCTCCTCTGGATCATCCAGATGGTCATTGGCAAACTTCAGACGGGCCTGGACATGCGCTGGCTTGAGCAGGGGGACCTTGCGTGCGCTGCAGGATTTTAATCCATCACGGCGTAATGTGTTACTAATGGTTTTCTTTGAGACTGTGGTCCCAGCTCTCTTCAGGTCATTGACCAGATCCTGCCGTGTAGTTCTGGGCTGATCCCTCACCTTCCTCATGATCATTGATGCCCCACGAGGTGAGATCTTGCATGGAGCCCCAGACCGAGGGTGATTGACCGTCATCTTGAACTTCTTCAATTTTCTAATAATTGCGCCAACAGTTGTTGCCTTCTCACCAAGCTGCTTGCCTATTGTCCTGTAGCCCATCCCAGCCTTGTGCAGGTCTACAATTTTATCCCTGGTGTCCTTACACAGCTCTCTGGTCTTGGCCATTGTGGAGAGGATGGAGTCTGTTTGATTGAGTGCGTGGACAGGTGTCTTTTATACAGGTAACGAGTTCAAACAGGTGCAGTTAATACAGGTAATGAGTGGAGAACAGGAGGGCTTCTTAAAGAAAAACTAACAGGTCTGTGAGAGCTGGAATTCTTACTGGTTGGTAGGTGATCAAATACTTATGTCATGCAATAGAAACGTATGATCTCTGTAATTGCAAACAAAGGTTTCTGTACCAAATATGAAGTTCTGCTTTTCTGATGTATCAAATACTTATGTCATGCAATAAAATGCAAATTAATTACTTAAAATCATACCATGTGATTTTCTGGATTTTTGTTTTAGATTCCGTCTCTCACAGTTGAAGTGTACCTATGATAAAAATTACAGACCTCTACATGCTTTGTAAGTAGGAAAACCTGCAAAATCGGCAGTGTATCAAATACTTGTTCTCCCCACTGTATGTATATATATATATATATATATATATATATATATATATATATATACACACACACACACACACACTTATATGAAATGAGAACATTAACTATTAGTTATTGGAATATCCAGGGCTTGTACTCTTCTACCTTAGGTCTTAAGACCACAAACCCAGATTTTCTTAACAACACCAAAGGTCAAGACATAATAATACTTCTAGAAACATGGTGTCATACACGGAACAAAAATATAAACGCAACATGTTAAGTATTGGTCCCCTGTTTCATGAGCTGAAATAAAATAAATGTGTTTACATCACTGTTAGTGAGAATTTCTCATTTGCCAATATATTCCATCCACTTGACAGGTGTGGCATATCAAGAAGCTGATTAAACAGCATGACCATTACACAGGTGCACCTTGTGCTGGGGACAATAAAAGACCCCTCTAAAATGTGCAGTTTTGTCACACAACACAATGCCACAGATGTCTCAAGTTGAGGGAGCGTGCAATTGGCATGCTGACTGCAGTAATGTACACCAGAGCTGTTGCCAGAGAATTGAATGTTCATTCCTCTACCATAAGCCAACTCCAACGTCGTTTTAGAGAATTTGGCAGTACGTCCAACCGGCCTCAAAACTGCAGACCACATGTATGGCGTTCGTGTGGGTGAGCGTCGTTTTAGAGATGTCAACGTTGTGAACAGAGTGCCCCATGGTGGTGGTGGGGTTATTGTATAGGCAGGAAAAAACTACAGACAACGAACACAACTGCATTTTAAATCGATAGCAATTTGAATGCACAGAGTTAACATGACGACATCCTGAGGCCCACTGTCGTGCCATTAATCCGCCGCCATCACCTCATGTTTCAGCATGATAATGCACAGCCCCATGTCTCAAGGATCTGTACACAATTCCTGGAAGCTTAAAATGACCCAGTTCTTCCATGGCCTGCATTCTCACCTGGCCCGCATGTCACCCATTGAGCATGTTTGCGATGCTCTGGATCAACAGCGTGTTCCAGTTCCCGCCAATATCCAGTAACTTCGCACAGCCATTGAAGAGGAGTGGGACAACATTCCATAATCAACAGCCTGAAGAACTCTATGCGAAGGAGATGTGTTGTGCTGCATGAGGCAAATGGTGGTCATATCAGATACTCACTGGTTTTCTGATCCATACCCCTACCTTTTTTTTTTGGTATCTGTGACCAACAGATGCATATCTGTTTTCCCAGTCATGCCAAATCCATAGATTAAAACAGGGCAGGGACTCAGAAGGAATGATCATATGGTATAAACAGGTCCTTTCACTGAGCCAAATAAAAAAGGGCAACACCCACAATCCTTTGTGACAATGATTTATATAGGTGCAGTGTATGCTTCTCCCTCAGATTCATCTTACTATGATGATCAGTTTTATGATCATCTCCAAAGAGAGACCAACCAGTTAAGCTGAGGGAAATGTGCTTTTGTGCAGAGATTTTAATACTAGAACAGGTTCTGAACCTGAATGTGTAGACCCTGAGGGTTATAGACATTTGGAAATCCCTCCGTATACCCGTCCCATCACTATTAATAGAAATAGCCCTGACCAGGTAGTGAACAAGAATGGAAAGGAGTTAGTGCATCTATGTCGAGCCTTAGGCCTGTATTTGATTAAATGGCAGGATTAGAGGGGATTCTTTGAGAAGGTTCAGCTACTGCTCAGCTCTTGGGACCAGTGTTGTTGACTATGCAATCTCAGACTTGGACCCCTCCTCCATTAGTGCATCCACAGACACTATTGACTGAACACTGCCAGTCTTTTAAAAAAAACTTCTCCACCCAAAGACCACACAAACAGAGCCATGCACACTGATTCATCTAAATAAAACATACATATGGGTCCCTGGCAGTGCAAGACACTTCAACACAGCATTCTGCCTAGAAATTACAACCTGTATCAATTATTTCCTTTCAAGTATATTCAGCCCAAACCTCCCTGACATAAATGTGGTAGTGAATAAATTAAATGAGATCTATCATAAAGCAGCCCCAAAAGCACATTTATGCAAAAGAAAAAAACAGTTCTAATTGGAAACCTTAAAAAAGAAAAATGGTTTGATGCTGAATGTAATCTCATAAGGAAAAAAATTACATCTTTATCAAATAGAAAACATCACCAACCACAGGATAGAGACGTTTGGCAACAATATTATGACAGAATACAAACAAAACCTAAGATGGAAGAAACAGAAGTATTTTGAGAATACTCTCAAAGAGATTGAAGACTCCATTGATGGAAACCAGTTCTGGATTAAATGGAATGTTCTAAATGGAAAACAGAGGAATGACCTGCCCATTCAAAATGGCAACATTTGGAAAGGTAATTTGAAAGTCTATGGAATAATACCATCAGAAGACCCCAAAAAATATGCAAGAAAATCTCAGCTCCCTCGAACACACAATTAAAAACGTCCAGAACCCAATTGACTACCAAATTACACAGGCTGAACTTTCGAAGAAAATACAAAGCCTTAAACATGTAAAGGCATATTGCCCTGACAGCATCAGGAATGGAACGCTTAAAACACAGTACTCCTGAGCTGCAGGATGCCTTATTAAAACTATTCAACCTGGTTTTGGAGAGTGGCTGCTACCCTGATATTTGGAACCCCCATATATAAAAAAATAAGTGACAAATTAGACCCTAATAACTATAGGAGAATATGTGTCACTAGTTAACATGGGGAAACTGTTCTGCTGTATTCTCAATGACCGAATACAGACCTTCCTTAACACAACATAACGCTCTCAGCAAAAAACAAATTGGCTTTCTACCCAAACACAGAACAGACCACATACACTAACAAACCAGCATGTTCATCAGAAAAGCAGAGGAAAAGTATTTGCATGTTTTGTTGATTTTAAGAATGCTTTAGATTCCATATGGCATTATGGATTATATTACAAAACCCTCCAAAGTGTCATTGGGGGAAAAGTATACGACATCATAAAATCAATTTACTCAAACACAACATGTAGTATTGAACAATAAAATAACATAATTTTTTGCACAAGGGCGAAGGGTGAGACAAGGGTGCAGTTTAAGTCCAACCCTGTTCAACGTCTACATCAAAGATCTAGCAGTGTCGTTGGACCGATCTGTAGACCCTGGACTCACCCTCTACGCAGA